TTCAAAATTGCCTTTGATGTTCATTTTAACCTAATTCCACTTCGATAAAGCAAAATTAGAGAAAGAGTAAGTGTCGAATTATAAACCTCCAGACATGGTGCATGTATATTTTTTGGAATTGCTTCATCTTTCACCAGAAAAGTTAGGCTCCTCTACGTCTGTTACAGATTCTCTGTAGCCTAAGCATACTGCACCAAGAGAATAAAATACGATGGCTGTATTTCCCTTACAAAATACAGATCACTTCCAAGCACATTCTTTCCTAAGATTCTCATGGGTTCCAGGCACAGTGGACTACCTCCCCAAGTTTATACTTTCACAGCATTACCTTTTAAAATCGGGTTTCTTTAGTTTTAAGTTTCCTTTCTTCCTGATTGTTAAAAACTGATTTAAACTCAGTTCAGATATTACTCTATGTAGCCTTCTGCAAAACTGACTGAGCTACAAATAATCACATTGCCTCTAGCTATCCTTAGTTTTGCTAATGCTTCATTTTGACATTAGTATCAGGGTTCCTTTGGCAAGTATTTGTATATGTAAAGTCTATTCCATAATGCCTTGCGCACAAGTGCCATGAAAGTAAATTTATTTATAGATTTTAATTTTATTTCTTTTTTGTTTGTATGTGTATTTCCAATGTACATGTGTGTGTGTGTATACACTCATCTTTATGTAGTGGACAACGGAGTATGTTAGGTGTCCTGCCCTATCTATCACGCACTATCCACTTTATTCCCGTCACAGGGTCTCTTATTGAACCTGGAGCTAGGCTGGCAGCTCGAAAGCCCCAAAGATCCTCCCATCTCTGCCAGCTGCTCCTCTCCCAACAGAGAAGTGGTGGTAGTGATGGGGAGGGTGTATACACACAAGAGAGGGCCCAGGACTATCTGTTCACACTCCTTTCTTGTATGGGTACTAGGGATGAACTCAGGTCCTCACGTACAGCATGCACTGTTTACCCACAGGGCCATGGTCCCCAGGCCCTACACAGATTTTAAATAGTGTGTCTGTAAGATAAAACATTTCCTATCACTCTTAAGACCTTATGAAAATTCAGTTTGATGGTGACACAAATTTGTTTTTCATTCTTTGGGGACAGTTAAGAACATGCTAGCTTCCCAGAATATTCAAACCATAGTTCCCAAAGGTAATCTGGAGTTCTAAAGAAGCCAGTACTCAGATGACAGAGTGTCTGTTTAGGATGAATTCTTCTCTAGTACTTGGATGGCTTGCCCGGGCAAGTCACACAGCCCAGTGGTCTCAGATGTCACAATTAGCTGTGGACTATCTGGATTTAGTTCTATAGTTTACTTTTTTTGTTTTTTTTTTTTTGTGACAGGGTTTCTGTGTAACAGTCCTGGCTGTCCTGGAACTTGCTTTGTAGACCAGGCTGGCCTCAGACTCACAAAGATCCACTTGACTCTGCCTCCTAAGGTCTGTGACATATTTTACTATTTTAAAACATTAGTTCAGATGAAGATCTATCTGAATTTCAGTACTTATTGATCATGTCATTATAAGCATGAGCTAACTAACTTGTTACAAGTACTTTTATACTGAATCGGAAATAGAGTGGCATGCTTCTTTTAAATTCAGACCCAGTTGCTTATATAACAGGAGTGAATCTCCAAAGAGGAAATCCAGACATAATATAAGTTGACTGTAATAAATTAAAAGCTCTCTTTAACTATGAAAATATCAAAAAGAGGGCATCCTTCCCCCCAATAAAAAAGGTGGCAATAAAAGAGTTCTGTCTGACATATAGCTGCATAACATCATCCCAACTGCTCAGGGATACGTCCTACTTCTATACACTATAGGTGACTCCAGGGATATGAGAGAAACCAGAATGCACTTAGTCATCTACCATATTCCCTACTTCAGTCTGTGGAAACTATAAAATTCTTTGCTAAATTCAGAAATACAGAAGCAAACAGCTGAGCCAAGGCAAAAGACAACAACAGGTAGGGTAAAAAGCTACTGAATGAATGAGAAATGTTATGCTCCCCAGCTATGCATTGGAATCCCGGTGGCCAAGAATGTCCTGCTCTATTGGAAACTTTTCTTTCCCTCTTTGTACAACTGTAAGATATTTTGACAGTGGGGGTGGGGGTGGGGAGAATCTTGAAAATGAAAGACTTTCTGAGCCTGAAGACACAACATAAGAAACATTGTGTCAGAGAAGTCAGGTATACTGAAGAAGCATACTCTTTCTATAAACGCCCATCTTTAGACACAGGGACTGGGATTTCACAAATGAAAGTGACTGGAAATATTCTGACAGACACAGGAATACAGACCTAATGCTGCATTATTCTGAGATCCACAGGATATTTACAGTAAATCACCAGCCAGACAGTATTACGGGTACTGTCACTTGCTGCTCAGAAGCACTGTGAGAACCAACTACTTGGATGCAGAAAATGGCTCAGCGGGGGAACTCAGCTTGTGAATCTGCTCTTTCTTAATTTATAATTCTCCATAAAGAGGCATCTGCATTTTAAAGTTCTCAGCCACCTTGTTCATAAATACAACCCACTCAGTCCACTCCAAAACCCAGGGCTGTTTCAGACTTACACCAATCACATTCATCTTCACCTGTCACAGCTAGCTTACAGCTTACTTTGAGGTCACTCACTCTCTCATGATCCCTGGAACTTCTTTGAATATAAATCAACTCTATATAATTCTGGTATAGCCCTAGAAAAAGAAAGGTTCTTGCTACCTTTACTAAGTCCACTGTGTATTGCTCTTTCTGTAATTAAAAAAAATTCTGTGTATGACTGTTTTGTCTGCATATATTAAAATCTGTGTGAACCACATTTCTAGTATGCTGGTGTAGGTCAAAGAGGATCCTCTGACACTTCTCTTTCTAACTTTTTTTTTAAGCTTTATTTTTATCTATTATGTACAGTGCTATGCCTGCAGGCCAGAAGAGGACACCAGATCTCTTATGGAAGGTTGTGAGCCACCATGTCAGTGGTGGGAATTGAACTCAGGAACTCTGCAAGGAGCTCTGTAAGAACAGCGAGTGCTTCTAACCCCTGGGCCATCTCTGCAATTCTTAACAGTTCACAATCATTACTTCACTTGTACTTCCCCAACTCTTCAAGATGAGGCAAGAAGACAAGAAAGAACTAAGAAGGGCCTTGCCGTAGGACTGGCACTTAATATTGTTCTGGCTACTGGCATCATTTGGTCTGAGCAGAGTATGGGAGGGAGGTACAACAGTTCTTTTAGTTGAACTGCAATTAGAGCCTTACTGTATTTAAGATTCACACCACCAAACATGGCTGAGGATATCACTTCCCTAGCATACATAAAGCCCTAGGTCCTACTTTCTGAGCTATATGTGGGGAAATGGGAGACTGGGGCAAACACCAACTAATCAATAGGAGATATTTACAACAGTGGCTTAATCACCTTCCTCTTATGCTCAAACTTGTTAGGACTTTCCACTCATTTGTAAATAGGTGATGTTATGAAACATTTATAAATAGGTGATGTCATGTTAAAAGTACCCCAAAATCTAAGCACTGTATGAAATCTGAGATAAAAATTGACTCCAGATGTTGCTTATTACATCTCTTGCTAAAAGAAGTTGCCGAGCCGGGTGGTGGTGGCGCACGCCTTTAATCCCAGCACTCGGGAGACAGAGGCAGGCGGATCTCTGTGAGTTCAAGGCCAGGCTGGACCGGACAGCCTCCAAAACAATACAGAGAAACCCTGTCTCATAAAACCCCCCGCCCCAAAAAAAGTTGCCGAATTATTAAAAGGAGCCTGCCCACAAAACGGATAACTCCCCTGCAAAATCTATCAAGCTAACTTTGGCATCCAAATAACCCAAATTGTTCCCACTCCTATTCAAAATAATGTTTTACTATTTGTGTTTGTGTGCATGTGTCTGCATGTATAGATGTACGTGTAGAGGTCAGAGGACAATCTGTGGGTTCTTGATATTGAACGGAGGTCATCAGGCTTGGAGGAAAGTCCTCTTACTGGCACAACGCTCCTTTTTGCTATCTTCATTTACTCTGTATTGCCATGGTCCTCGCTCCTTTATTCTTAAATAGGGATGAACATGGCAATCTCTGCTTAATACTACTCTTGAAGTAGTAGGCTAGAATACAGAGCTTGCCATATATTAAAGCCAAGTAAAAACATGAGTCATTTACACAGTTCTGATCACCAGATTCCTTAGCCTCTCCCAACTTTCCTGTAAGAGACTTAACTCTGGTGGTTTGTGACTGCCTGTTCTTTTTTGCTCCTATGTCTAGGACCTCCACTTCCACAAATAAGTCATCATTCAGAAAACGAAACAGACCTAACCATGTAATTAATGAAACAAACAAAAACTGCTTCCTTCACGCAGTTGTCTATCATGGTTAACCATCGCTGTATATTAACACTATCTCAGATTTTAAATGTCCCAATGCTCAGACCTCATTCCAGTGTCTGCAACATATAGTCAAGATGAGAACCATTAAATTTAATCTGCTTGAGTAGCCGTTTCCCGGGTTACCAAAACAAAAACCAGAATCCTCAATTTTGACTTCTATATAGAAATTCAGAAGCTCCCCAGACTGGGATCTGCTTTGAAATTGTGCAATTATCTTCACTCTTAAAAGGAGAGTACTGTGCTGGGTGGTGGTGGCACACGCCTTTAATCCCAGCACTCGGGAGGCAGAGGCAGGTGGATCTCTGTGAGTTCGAGGCCAGGCTGGACTGATAGGCTCCAAAACAATACAGAGAAACCCTGTCTCGTAAAACCAAAAAAAAAAAAAAAAAAAAAAAAAAAAGAATAATACTGTATGTATTTCATTGGCTAAGGAAGGAGAACAGACATCCTCTGATTACTGGGGGATAGGGTGCTCTGCTCCTTCTATAGAATATAAAACACAAAGAAGAGTATGGGTGTTTCCAGTAATTATGGTTGACACTACAGGGACATCAGATTCCTATCAAGGACTCCTAGGTCCCCAAGGTTCCTTTTCTCCTACCTCCAGCAGGTCTATCATCCTGGTCATCTGAGAGTAGATAAGGACCCTATGTCCTTGAGACTTGAGTCGAGTCAACAGGATATCAAGGGCATACAGCTTTCCACTGTCTGTGATGAGGCTCTCCTTGCCTGGGGAGAAAAAAAGGGGCGGGGGAGGAAACTATTTAATTGAAGCATCAAATCATCCACTGCAAAGCTGTATGCGGCTAAAATTTCTATAATCAGGATGCTTGTTTTCCTGACAACAGGAAAGTGCTTGAGAAGTAGATTGGAAAGCCCTGTCAAGCCCTGTCAAGCCCTGACTCCAGGAGTGCTAAGGCACAGCCTGAAGAGCTGGAGACAACCTCTTGGCTGACAGAGTCGATTACGTGTTTGGTCCACATTCTTAATGAGGGGACACCAAGCATACAAGGCTATCTACCAGAGACAAATATCTAGAAACCTGTTGCTTCTAATTCTGTGCTCATGCTGGTTTGAGACTCATAGGAATGTTTGGTCCTCAGTTAGTGAACTGTTTTGAAAAGATTATCAGGTGTGGCCTTGTTAGAGGAGGTGTCACTGGGGGTGGGGTTTGAGGTTTCCAAAGGTCAAGTCAGGTCAACCCTTTGCCTCTCTGCTTCCACCTTGCAGGAAAGATATAGGTTCTCTGCTACTGCTCCAGCACCACGTTTGTCTGCTGGCTGCCATGTTCCCTGCCAGGTGGATCACAGGTTCATCTTCTAAAACTTGAAGCCCCTATGTAACTGCTTTCTAAGTTGCATTCACCATGGTATGTCTTCACAACAATAGAATAGTTACTAGGGCACAGGTTATGTCCTAAAAGTATGAGACTAGACAGAGACAAGGGAATCTGTCTGAAGATAATGTAAACACCAAGTAAATGTGTCCACCCTTGACACCCAGTTGATAACTGGCTATCAACTCCAGGGCCATGTGTCCAGCATGTATTCTTTCAATGAGCCCTACTCCCAGTTTTTTAAAAAGAACGGACTTTAAGCTTCTGTGAAATGAAATTGTTTTCACTCACTATCTTGTGTTTTCTCTTTCCTCTTCCCATATGAAACACATTTCAGTCACAGATCTTTTAAGAACACTTAACTCACAAGTTTTCATCTTATCCATTCAGTACCATTCATTCCCATCATATTCCAGGAAGCAGAGTTTCCTGTTTGCAGACCGTTCATAAACATGTCCTGAACAATTGTTGCATTAAGAAGGGAAGAAAGGAGGCTTGAGGGGTTGCATAAGAGTATATATGGAAGTAGCTGGGGAACATACACATACATACACACCCCAAAAAGAAGAGAAACAATACAGAGAATTATACACAGGCAACTACCTCCCAAAAGTAAAAGAAAAAACTATTAAGTCAAATTGTCCATCCTTAGTTTCCGGGGTTGAACCATGCTCTTTCTTCAGAACTGCAAAGACCTAGTACTGACAGCAGTCCAAGAATTCTCAACTGTCATTCTGGCCACTATTTGCCAAGTACACAATCATTGTCTACACTGAACAAGAACGGATGTGCTGACAGCACCACAACAAATCACCAGCTGCTGTGTTTTTGCTACAAAGCTATGGTCCTGGATGTTTACTCCTCTGCACGGCACCCTTTTCCCACCTTCGGAATGCTGCCAGGACACGCTGCCTTCCCTCCCCGCCCTGCTCCACACCTTTGTTCAGCCTCTTTGTTTGCTCCTGTTTAGATTACTGAAAGGCTCTTCTCGATGCTGTCTCCTTATGAGCACAATCAAATGACTACAGCAGGACAAGAGCGAGTGCTGAGCTTTCTCCCTGGCACCAGACAAGGAGGCCAGTGGAAATTCCTAGTCTGGTCAGGCAGCAATGTTTTCTGACAACTCAAGAAATTCCCTTCTCCTCATAATTCCTTCTCTGCTGTACTGTCAGGAGTTTCTTTTTCTTTCTTTCTTTCTTTTTTTTTTTTTTGGTATTTACAGACAGGGTTTCTCTGTATTGTTTTGGAGGCTATCGGTCCAGCCCAGCCTCGAACTCACAGAGATCCGCCTGCCTCTGCCTCCCGAGTGCTGGGATTAAAGGCGTGTGCCACCACCGCCCCGTGAGTTTCTTGATTTTGATAGCTTTTAGTATTTCTCACAGAGCTAGTCATCTTTTTTTCTTGTTTTTAAAGCCATACAATTTTCAGTCACTGAGTGGGAGTGGGCAAGCTAAGCCCTTCGTGCTTTTATAGCCTTCTTATGTCCTCTCTCCCTTCAAAACAAATCACCAGCAGAGTACACATAAATCTGTATGGTGTCTAGAGTCTGAAAAGCATCAATTGACTTTGTAATAAAAGATTTGTTTGTTTATTTTATTTTTTTTTTGTTTTTTCAAGACATGGTTTCTCTGTATTGTTTTGGAGGCTGTCCTGGAACTCGCAATGTAGACCAGGCTGGCCTTGAACTCACAGAGATCTGCCTGCCTGCCTCCCAAGTGCTGGGATTAAAGGTGTGTGCCACCAACGCCCAGCAAGATTTGTTTATTTTTATGTGTATGTGTCCTGGCTAGTATTATGTCAATTTGACACAAGCTGGAGTTACAGGAAAGCAGAGAACCTCAGTTGAGAAAATGTCTATGTAAAATCTGGCCGTAAGGCATTTTCATAATTAGTGATGGACAGCCCATTGAGGGTAGCATGTGACACTACAAGGCTGATGGTCCTGGGTTTGATAAAAAGCACGCTGAGTAAGCCAATAAGCATCACCTTCCACAGCCTCTGCATCACTTCTTGTTCTGACTTCTTCCACTGATGAACCATGGTGTGGAAGCATAAGCCAATAAACCCTATTGTCTCAAGTTGCTTTGGTCATGGTGTTTCAACACGGATGTTTCAACAGTAACCTTAAGACAGTAAGAATATTTGCATACATGTATATATGTATGTGCCTGGTACTTATGGAGTCAAAGGAGAGCATCAGAAATACTGAAACTGGTGATATGGACTTTTTAAGTCACTATGTGAATGAATGCTGGGAACAAAACCTAGGTCCTTTGCAGGAGCAGTGAATTCTCTTAAGATGGGCGCTATCTCTAGCCCCATTAGAAACCATTATTAAATAGTCTTCACACTTCCCTGCTCCTCAGAGTATTTTTAGTTTGATAACTAGAATGAACGGAAGCTAGGATTAGAAAAGTGCAGAGGTAAAGACACAGAAACACATGAAGATGAATTCAAATACACAAAAGCAACAAGCATTGCCAGCTTGTCACTGTGTTTGAAGAAAGTGGAGGCAGGCAGACCAGATCTGGGTTATGGATTTTTTTTTGTGGGTTCATATAAGCAAGGTAAGTGCTATTACCATTGAGCCTTAGACCACAGGGACCTGTTTGGACTGTTTTGAAAGCAAAAGCCCCAAAGAAACTGACTTGAACCAAGAGGATAAAACACTTTTGCAAACAAAAATATTTCTGAGTTATCCAGTGAGTATGCTAAATAGACCAAATCAGTGTCTAACATTTGTCCTTAGTGATATATGCATACAAACAGACTTCTTTCCTTGTCTATACTGGCATCTTAGGGCCTGGTATACATCATTCAATTTTTAAGAGCTACTAACTGTGGCCAAGCGGGGCACAGAGCCAGAAGTATAATTCCCAAGAGATCAAGCAGCTTCTGCCCAATCAAACCCAGCCCCAACCCATTCTTTAGAATAGGACCGCAAATGATACTGAAACAACCAGATCTATCCTCTCTCATAATCTTTCCACCAATTCTATGGTATTCACATACTGTCCACAACAAAGGACTCTGTGCAGTAGCAAGACAAAAAGACTAAATATTGCTCTCTTCCAGGGAAAGAAGCCCTCTGAGAGGCTGGAGCTTGCAAAAGCAATCCAGGTATGAAACTCAGGAAAAATTGGTCAGTCTTTCAAACTCTACCTTTCCCAGGAAAACAAAAAATGTAAAAGTATAGAAGAAAGAGATAAAACAGACAGGTTCAAGTGATACCCTCCCTGTCCCCACCCCGCCCCTGCTAGTCCACAGAGCACAATGGGGTCAGTGAGGAGCTTGTCGGTTCTCACAGTAAACAGCCAGTGAGGCTGGTGCTTTTTATCGATGCGAAAAGAACTCAGACACTTCCTGCTATTTAAACAAGGTCCATTTTTCTTTCAAAGAACAGGAAAAGCCACAAGAGATTCCCACAGCGCCAGCAATAAGCCTTCTACTCCTATACTGGGAACTAAAGAGTCAGAATGAAGAAAGAAGAAACAGGGTATACTTGCTTCTTTTGGTACCTATGCTTCCTTCCTACCTACATGTCTGTGGTATCCATTCTGTCCTGCTTTATGCTTGGGCTTTCCCCTTAACTTTCAAACACTTTTACCCACTACTTTCACGTATTCTAAGTCACTCCTGAGACCATGTGCAATATGGAAGTCACATACCTAAACAGACATCTTATAGTCAAAGCACTCCAAAGGACTATCAATAGGAAAAGAAAGCCTTCAGACAAGAAACAAGAAAAGTCAGCCTCTGCAAAGGAATCCAGCTGTCACTTATAGCAGATGCTCCCTTTGAAAGCATAGTTTTATTATGCTTCCATTAAATTTCCATTAAGAATACAATCCAGATATCAGAGTTTAGACAACCAAGCTAGCACCGTAGAGCTAAGCTACACTTTGCAGCAGGTGTAAAGTGCATCAGTCTGAACCCTCTGTGTTTAACTTCCTTAAGTGCAGTCTCACTGAAGCAAAGATGAAAACGGAGTTTCCTTTCAACCCTGGAACTTGACCCCAGGGGGTCTGGGAATTGGCTAGTGTTTTGGCATAAAACATACTGTTTTTCCTCTTGTTATCATTTAGATCTCTAGGCCTTGTGCAGGACACTGTTTGTGCTACTTAAACTAGGCTCTCTGAGAGTGACGACATTCTCATTCACTCCACCAGCAATGGCAAAGACAACCGTACTCGTTCGACCTAAGACCTTTTGGGGGGGTCTCTCTGAGGTGGGTGGAACCCAGGTCTTGTGTATACCAGATAAGCACTCTACCCATGAGCACCCCAACCTCCTCCCTTTAAAAAGTGGCATTACTTTCTATCAAAGGAGAGAACTCAAGAACAAATCTAGAAACATTTCTCTTCCCATCTTTCCACACAAGTTACATCTTTCCACACAAGTTACCTGTATTTTTACTTATAAATTACATGTGGGAGGAGAGACAGAAACTTCACAAACTCTGTATATCAAACACTGGAAACTATCACATGGGCTTTCTCCATGGTTTCTTACCAAAGCTGGGAACATGCTCTCAGGGAGCGGAAAACTTACCTGGAATTCTGATGAAAGACCAGCCGTTCTGGGGCCTGATGCTCCATAGCCCTCCAGCTGGCTCTGGGAAGAACTGTGACCTGCGATTTAGCCAATCCGTAGCCAGCTCAGGAGCCCCATTCAACAAACACTGCTTGGCAGTAAGACTCCCTCCCTCTTTCAGAACTCTTCTCTCATACTCTGCACTTCTGTCGTTACAGTAAGAATCCAGCGGCACTGCGGTGACCTGCAGAGCAAAATTCACAGATGATAAAATATCTCTTCTGCCTGGGCGTTGGTGGCGCACACCTTTAATCCCAGCACTTGGGAGACAGAGGCAGGTGGATCTCTGTGAGTTCAAGGCCAGCCTGGTCTACAGAACGAGTTCCAAGACAGCCTCCAAAAAACAATACAGAGAAACCCTGTCTCGAAAAACAAAACACAAAAAACAAAAAAACAAAAAACAAACAAACAAACAAACAAAAAATATATATGTATATCTTCTGTATTTTTCACACACACCAAGTCTTGAGGGAACTTCAACGTTTTTTGGGGGGGGGCTTCTAAGATAGGATCTCATGTAACCTAGGATGACCTCAAAATTCTCAAGAAGTCAATGATGACCTACAACTAGCTGGTCCTATTACCTTCACTACCTAGTGTGGGATTATAGGCAAATTTCAGGCTTGTGAATGCTAAGCAAGCACTCTACCAACAACTGAGCTTTAGGCCCAGAACTATGAAATCAGACCAACATGGATAATCTCAGGCTGTTGACTTTAAATTTCCTCAACAAAATAAGACAGTGCCAATGACTCTGGGTAAAATGGAAATCTCTAATAACATGAGCCTACAATCACAAGATACAAAAAGAAACCGGAGCATGAGGATAGATTAGGGTGCAAGTGGGATAGTATTCTAATCTCAATAAACATTTATGACTCACACTCATTACTAGGTGTTGTTCTCAGCAAAGAACAATTGGCCACACGATGGTGATGCTAGAAAGGGAGCTGGAGATGCACAGACATCATTAAAGGACTACAGTATTGGTCTGACACACATGAAGCTATCTTTGTGTTTTTCGAGACAGGGTCTCACTATGTAGCTCTGGCTGTCCTAGAACTCTCTTTGTACACCAGGCTAGCCTCAAACTCACAGAGAGCCTTCTGCCTCTGCCTCCTGAGTGCTGTGACTAAAGGCATGGGTCATCATCACCTGGCTATGACTGGCGCTATCTTTAATGCTTTCAAGGCAAGACTTCTTTATTTACCAATACTTCTCATGAACAACCCTAATGGAAAAGAAGAGAAGCCTTCTTTCAAGCCATGCTGGAGAAGGAATATGGGACACAGGGGGTAGAGAGAAGTAATCACCAGCAAGCCGTGTATTCATTTCCTGGCTAAGGCAGAGGCTGCACAAAATTCTTAAATCATTATATAGTACAACCTAACAAAACTAAAATGTGGCCTTCCCAATGGAGAAAGGGCTCTTTGCCAACCTTGAAACACAGGTTCATACTTTCTCAGCTGTCTGTGAAGTCATCTGATAAGAAGCCTGTTGAACTAACTTCTTGTTAAAAGTAAAAGCTGTGGTGATTCACCAAGTCCAAGATGATGAAAACACTAAAAGCCCATTCACTGTAAGCAGTACATTTCTCAGATGAAGATTAAAACTAAACAAAGATGTAGTGGCACATGCCTTTAATCCCAGCACTAGGGAGGAAAAAGCAGGCTGATCTCTGTGAGTTCAAGACCAGCCTGGTCTACAGAGATAGTTCAGGACAGCCTCCAAAGCCACAGAGAAACCCTGTCTTGAAAAACAAACAAACAAACAACAACAACAACAACAAAAAAAACCCAAAGGGATGGAGTGATGGTGGGTATAAACAGCAGAGTATAAAGAGCCAAGGTGTGGGAGAGATCAGAACAGAACATTTGTTGTACCTAGTTAGGCAGTTCTATTACTTCTTGGAAGATTTGGGAAATCTGTTTTGCTATTAACTGCTGTATTTTCACATGAATCAACCTTTATAGCAGTGATCCTTAAGTTTGGATATGCTGAGGAACCTTGATAGGAACAGATGACAGATGTGAATCTAGAGGAGGGGGGAACCAAACTTGATCTAGGTTAACAAACACCCCAGGCTATGAAGTCAAGCCTAAAGAATACTGCTAGCTAAACATGGGGATGCAGGTGCTTCTGCTAAGAGCCACAGGGTACCAAGGGCAGATAAACAGTCTCATTTATCAGTAGTCAGAAAATAAACAGCACTAACTGCAGATGGAGAGAAACTGAATTTCTTAGGGAGCAGTGCCATCTGCAGTTCAGTTGTAAAACTACCTAAGGCCACAGCAAAGGGCCTAGAGCTCTAACACTTGCTCAGGTTAACCCAGTTTATGCAAACAAGTGTTATGAAGTCTTACTACCTCTGTTTCCTCCAGAGTATTTTTGTTATTGTTTTCCTTCTTGTTCACTTTTTCCCTGGATACTTCTAAAGATGGAAACACAAAAACTGTCTCTCTCTTTCTCTGATGGTTTACCTACTCGGCAATCCAGCAGACTTTGAACCAGAGCAGAGCTCTCCCGTGTAGGATGGAAGTCACATCGCCCCAAAATCTCTTAACAGCTGTACTTCCATAAAAAATGATTAAGGCAGTGGTTCTGACCTTCGGGGAAGGTTCTACACATGCTCAAACAGCACATACTCCTTAGTGTGTAAAACACTTAATTGCCCTTCCTGACTTGCTCATGTAAGTACTCTTCCACTAAGCTACCTCTCCCCCCTCCCCCTTTTGTGAGGCAGGTCTCTCATGTAGTCCAACTATCCTGGAACTCATAATCCTCCTCCCTTAGCTTCCTGAATTATGGGATTACAGGCTTGAGTCACCATACCGGATAGTGGAGAGGATACTGGCATATTCTATTTTTAAAGCCAATCCCTTTAGCTTCCCCTTATCTTCTAGTACTAAACAGAACTCAGACTGGAATCATGACTCTGGGTCATAATCTCAAGATGGAAACTCAGAAACTAGATGCTCAGAATGAAGGACAATGAAGGTCAGTGACTCAGGCAGAATGTTCTCCTGCCAAGGACTTGTTGTATATAGGCACTCCCAACTGTTTAAAAAGCAAACCATTTTCAGTTATAAACTTTCAATGTTGCTGACATCCTTCCAAGTCCAGTGCTAAACATATGCACTATGTGTGTGCCTGATACCCATGGAGATCAAAGAGGGTATCAGATCCCTTGGAACTGGAGTGATCAGTTATGAGCCACCATGAGGTGCAGGCAATTGAACCCAAGACACAATTCTCTCTCTCTCTCTTAGTTTTTGATAAGCTTTGGTGATGATATATATGTGGAATTATAGAATGCCATAGTCTAAGTATGTGAGCCATATACTTTTGGAACTTCAAAGAGCAAAAAGGTCCATTTCTCCTTAGAATAAATCCTACATGTAAGTTAGCTCCATCCTAGACAGCTTGTGCTCATTCTGCAAACCCTGATGATATAGAAATATCAGTGATGAGACATGACATACCAACCTTCCCTCCCTACAAATGAAAATGCATCCTGCATCGAGCCCAGGCATACCCAACCTGTGCTTGCAGGCCAGGTGCATTCATGGATACCTAAAAAAACCCAACTGTTGTACACAACAGCATCCTATCACAATGTCAAAGGTTATACTCCTTGCAGTTCTTACATGCCAATCCCAAGCTGTGCTTCATTAACCTCCTAAATTACTGTAGTTAGAGGAGCTGCTTTGTCAAGCATTTAGGGCGTCCTTCCTGACATGTGTATTCCTGCTCTGGCTATGGGAGCGTGACTGCTCCAAACATTTCTGGGTTTTGGTGAGGTGACTGCCCAGAATCTTCTTTACTCTACTAACCTTGTAGAACTATTTCTCAGCTATTGATAAACAGCTCCTTCCTTAGTGGCAGTCACCCCAGAACACACACCATGGAAATGACTTCTAACAGTGGTCGGCCAGTCAATTTCTTTCCTCCCCAAATGTTTACGGTAAGTAGAAGGAAAGGCACCTCATGAAATATCATTTTATTCATTCTCAGGACTGATATGAAAGGTGAAGCCTAGGTATGTGTGAATTACATATTCAGACATGGTTAGAATTCTCGTGTCCTCAAAACCATGCTTCAATTACTCCTAGTTTCAGGTTCAGTACATGCTACATGAGAAAAATGTACATGAGGAAAGAGACTGGTGTAGGAAAAGAGGGTGGTGAGTTTTCTACTATTTTCTACTATACCGTGAAAATCACCACATTTACAGTGATTACAACTTCTTCCAAGTGACATTTATTATTCTTTAGAGAAAGGGCACCAACAGACATGGCAGTTCAGACTTATGTCTAGCCTCTGTAAAACACTGTTTTGTTTTTTTCTCTCCTCTTTCCGTTGTGAGACAAGGCTTGACTTGAACTTAGAACTCTCTTGCCTTAACCAACCAAATGCTAGAATGACAGAGATGCAAGCCACCATGCTTCAGCCCAGGACTGATGCTTAAAATTTCTAATTTTGGGAAGACTGTTCTAGAGTACAGTTGGTCATAGATATTTAGGGAGTCTTGAGAGGTAGCAAATATTTCTTATGTGTATAAAGACAATTTTTACATACATAATGATTTAATGGCTTTTATTGGCTCTATGACACAATAGGAGTAAAGTTTTATCATTCCTCTCCCAGAATGACAAAACTCGCTTAGGATCTTGGTACAGAGATCAGGCTAAAAGAGAACAAAACGAACCATTCAACAGAGAAGCCTGAAGACTGCTTTCCACACAGTACCCAGTTTTAGTTACTTCTTTATAACTTTGGTCCTAAGAATGCTCTGGAGGAACAGGGTATACACAGATTCAAAATATTTTCCCATAAATATACAGCAAAGTGTCCAAAGTGGCATGGCAACTAAGCTCACACAGCACAGGACCAGTAGACAGAAATCTAGGTGGACAGTAGTCCATGGGACTTAGTTCTTCATTTCTGTTCTTCATCTTTCTTTAGACCCTTTTGTCAATTCTCTTTTGGTACATTTTATAAAGTATGTAAAACTGATAAAAATAATGGCAGACAAACGTTTCCAATGAAGACTTAAAGTTTCCTTTTTAGACAAAACTGCGAAAATAGATGAGTGGAGGAACAAGACAAAAATACAAAAGGGAAAGAGCTCCTTGGCTAACTCTGTTGCTCCAGAAGCAGATGGAAAGAGCTAGCTAGGAATCAGCAATGTGTTCTTTTCTTATTAACACTGTCTGGTCACATCACTACTCCACCTTTCTCCCTTCACATACTTCTTACCGAGCAGGGAGAATTCTTGTCTGGCTATGACCAATGAGGAAAAGAAAGGAAGCAGAAGAAGAAGGCAGAGTACCCTATCTGGGGAACAAAGGAAGCCTCCCAGGGCTGTTTGTCAGCAATCTTGGAGAACTGTTTGGATAAAAAGGGTATGGGAAGATAAAGAGAGATACTCAAAGTTGAAACCACAATAGAAACACCACCACTTTCACCACACCTACAGGAAAAAAAAGTTTAACTACTGAATGGTGAGTAAGATGCAGCAGCCACTGTTCAGATGGAGCACACCTGGGAACCACAGTCCAGGTAAGCCTGTTGAGTGAGAACACACCAGACTGGGAAACTGCCTGGTCCTGGAGTGACTGTACTGAAATCAGCTACCATCCTATGACAAACTTAAGAAAAACAACCTCAAACAGGTGACGAATGGCTCCCTGTTCTCCTGGCACTGCTATTGGGTACTGATCTTCCATACACATGGCTTGTCCCATTACAGTTTATACCTTCTGATTTAATCAAAAGCAATCACCCAACATATGGTAATTCTCAAATCTACACATTTCAATCTGAGGAAGTACTGTCTTGGGAAGGATAGGATCATGGACATTTTCCTGCTTTTAAATTTTCTTTTGAAATAAGTCTTCCTATGCAATTCAGTCTTGCCTTGAACTCACAAGCCTCCCATGTCCTGGGATCACAAGTGAATAATCATGCCTAGCTCCTTTATTTTTACAAATTATAATTGGTATGCTTTCAAGATCTAAACAGCTTAGAAACTACCCCCTACCCAGTACTGGTTCATTTTTTTAAAGTATTATTTATTTCATTTCTTCCCTCCTGTGGTACTTACTCGTGGACTGGCCACACACAAAAAAGATGGCAGCTCAGTGAGCAGGCAGCAACGAAGTGAGGAGGTAGCTGATCTCCGCTGATGGACGACCTGGTCTGAGTAGCCACTCACTGCTTTACAATGGCTGCTAAAAACAAGAGACTGAAAGAAAGAAAGAAAAAATATATATATATAGTTAATAAAGCAAAACAGAAAATGTGTCCCATACTGAACATTCAACTTAACAAACTTTTTCCTGGTCAATACTATTAATTCTAAATAATCATTAATCAGAACCAAATATGTAATACATAGTTGAGGTCCATGTTAATTTCAAAATGAGGTTTTATTAGTATACAAAACCAAGGATCATTTCTAATTCCACTTCTAGAAGAGATACTTCAGACAAAATACTATGTCTGCTAGGTGGATAACTGGTGTTATGACTATGGATGCAAACTCAAAACCATAATGATTAAGACAGGCTTCTTCTAAATTTTCACTTATACTTATACTTACTTTCTGACAATCATCATTTCTACCAAGGACTTCAATGAAATATAGCTTTAAAAAAGATTTTGCCTGCCGGGTGGTGGTGGCACACGCCTTTAATCCCAGCACTCGGGAGGCAGAGGCAGGCGGATCTCTGTGAGTTCGAGGCCAGGCTGGACCGACAGCCTCCAAAACAATACAGAGAAACCCTCAGCCTCCAAACAATACAGAGAAACCCTGTCTCGTAAAACAAAAAACAAAAACAAACAAACAAAAAAATTTTGCCCAAAATTGATATTTCCTATAGTTCTAGGCTTAATCTTTAAGTGAAAGATTTTTTAAAATATCTGTATGTACAAGATTTATATTCTTCAGGACACATTACCACTTAATAAAACAATCCTTGGGAAGTGCTCTCAGAATACACACTAATGGAGCTACATTGACAGTTGAAGCCAACCTTCTCTTTTCCTGTTTTCCCCATGGACATGACTAAATACAGACAGTAGGAAGTTTCTTCCTCTGCCTCTCCCCACCAAGTCTAACAATAAAAGTAAAATTTATTTTTACCCTAAACTGAATATGTATCTTCATTAAGAGGCCAAGAAAGTACTATTCTACTATAGCTGTCTGTCTGTCTGCCTGCCTGCCTATTAAATCAATCAATCATCTGTATGTTTGGTACATATATGTGTGGCTAGGTATATGCCAGAGCCTGAAACTCCTCAACTGTTCTCCATCTTTCTATTTTTGCAATTAAATATTTATTTTTGTGTGTGAGTGATGGACAACTTGTTGGGCTTAGTTCTTCTGGTCTATAATGTGGGTCCTGGGATTATACTCAGGTTCTTTGGATTAAACTCGGGTTCTCAGTCTTGGTGGCAAGAACTTTTTCCTCTGAGCCAACTTGTTGGCCCCGTATTACAGTATCTTCCCACTGAATCTGGATCTGCCTTAAATATACATGTACCAGGAAGAATAAAAAGAAACAGAAGGGGGTGGGGTGGGGAAGAGGACAAGAAGGAAATAAAGGCAAACTACATATAAAGGTATAATGAATATTTTCTCCTACAAGTTTATACACACAAATTTTGCTATATGTATACATATTTATCAGATACTTCGATAACTCGTTTTTCTTTGTTGAGATAGGGTTGCAAATAGCATAGACTGGCCTTATTCACTATGTAGAAAAGGACAAACTTGAACTCCTGTCTCCACCTGCAAAGTATTGGAATTACCAACATGTGCCATCATAACAGCCAGCACATTCTTGCCATAGTCATGACCAAATTTTAAAATCCTCAGATATACTGTGCTTCATACATTTTTATTGAATTGTTATACCTGGCCCTCAACAAAGTAATGCCTAAACAAAACCAAAACTGGACAAATGGTATGTCATTACAACAGCAACAGGCTTGTTTTTATTTGCAGACTGGGTCTCTCTAAGTTGCCCAAGCTGGCTCTGAACTTGTAATCCTTTTGCCTCAGTCTCCCAAGCTGCAGAGGTGTACAGGCAGGCAAAATTCCCATACACGTAAAACAAAGGATAAAGGGAAAATTAAAAGAGACCAAGCCAAGCAGCTCTTCACAGTAACAAAGCTATATACAAAACATTTACACAGGAAAATACACACATAATATATGTGTAACTCAATACACAGTACAAACCCCTCAGAACACTGGGATTGTTTGCATTTTATTTTTCAAGAGATAGTTTCTCTGTATAGCAGTCATAGCTATCCTGGAACTCACTCTGTAGACTCGGCTGGCCTCAAACCCACAGAGACCCACATGCCTCTGCCTCCCCAGTACTAGGATTAACGGTGTGAGCCACCACTGCCCAGCTGATCATTGGGGTTCTTGAGGACGACACAATTTAACATTATTTTTACCAATGCAAAGAAATGGGAAGCGAGAGCACTAAGTAGACAATTTATGCACAGGTAACAGCTTACCTTTAACAAAGGGCAGCTACAAAGGTTAGGGAAGGAAAGTGGAAAATCAACTCCAAGAAGAAAATCCTTATTTCTCAGATATCTCTGATGGCTCTCCCTGTCTGGCTCTTCCCAAAAGCGTAGCTGATGAAGCCTGTAGGAGGCTTTCAGAGACAGGAAAAGAGCTAGCCACCTGAAAGAAACAACAGACATATATGTATGCTTACTCAATGCTCCTAGGAAATCTGGTAATTTACAGCAAGGACCTATCTCATTATCACACAACATTTGTAAATCTTGAGCATTTTGGAAACAATTCTTTCTTACCTTCAGATAAAATTATTGCCTACTTTTGTTTTATATATTCCCTGATATGTTTTTAACATAAAATGCTCTATACAGCTATAATAAAAAGCAAATAAATGTGAAATATATTCAGAAATATTTATCTCTACTTCAAAATTCTTACTGAAGCTGGTGCTGGAAGGCAAAGGCAGACAGATCTTTGTGAGTTTGAGGTCAGCCTGGTCTACAGATCAAGTTCCAGGACAGGCTCCTAAGCTACAGAGAAACAAACAAACAAACAAAAAAAACGTAAACAAAAAAACTCTTGCCATAAAAACCATCCTAGCAGGAAGACAATCATTCCTAATGAGTTATCTATTACAGTAAAACACCATAATAGGGGCTGGAGAGATGACAACAGTTAAGAACACTGGCTCTTCCAGAGGACCCTGATTCAATTCCCAGCATCTACATGGCAGCTCACAACTGTCTGTAACTCCAGACCCAGGGCATGACACCCTAGCACAGGCAAAACACCAATGAACATTAAAAAAAATATGTTAAATAAATTTTACAACAGCATAATAAAATCAGTGAAAGTCATTTTGCAAAGAATAAAATCACACAGCTAAATCTCCCAGAATGCTTGAGGTAGTAGTATTCATATCTATATGCACCCATACCAACACACACAAAGATTATAATAATTCTTTTTTATTAGGGATTAAGACAAAGTTTCATGTAGCACAGACAGCTTCTAATATCTGATTCCCCTGCAAAATGCTGGGATTATAGGCATGTACCACCACCATTGCTAGTTCATAAAAAAAATTAATAGAGGCGGGAAAAGGCTTGAATAATATAATATTAAATATTTAATCTCATATTATATCATTTTTGTTCCTGCCTATTCCCAATTCTTCTATCAAAAAACAGTAAGCAAACTACTCACCTGGCCAAAAGTCCCTGAAGCATGAGGTTTGCCATTTCTGCTGGCGACACATCAATAAATCGAAGGAAAGAAAAACAGCTTCCTTCATTAATACCTAGAAAATCAAAGAACAATGCTGAGCCTGTTAGCAAACCAAGACAAACCAACTCAACTTAGCCTGCTGACCTGTTTAATTCTTACAAACAAATTGTACAGATTCTGATCTAGCCAGAATAGCATATTGTGTACTATAGCCACAGACAGAAGCCGTACCCGTGAAGTATGGCACACACAGGATGGAGTGGAGGTGGCTCATTAGTTTGGGGATTTTGGCCTTTGGTTAATTTCTATGATTTGAAGAAAAGGGAAAGGACCAGAAGAGAAAGGTTTTGAACTTTCACCTTAATATTTTAGACAATGCTCAGGGTCAAGCAGCTTAGGATAAGGAAGAAGAAAGGAATTCTGATTAATAAAAAGCATTAATGTCAAATTTCACCCGAAGAAATTCTTTGTTTTGAGACAAGTTCTCATATAGACCAGGGTGGTCTCAAACTTGTTATATGCTCAAGGATGACTTTGAACTTCTGATCTTCCTGACTCACTCTCCTGAATGAAGGTTATGTGCCACCAAGTCGGGTTTACTAGGTGCTAGGGACTGAACCAATGGCTTTGTGCATGTTAGGCAAGCACCCTACCATGCCCAGGCTATTACTGTATTTTTGAAAGAAGTTCTCATGCTAGGCTAGACTGGCTTCAGTTTCCTGAGTACTGAGATTACAGAGGTGAATCACTGGACCTGGCTTTAAGGTTGAGAAACTTCCAAAAGACAGAGAGGCACAAAATGAAGATAGAAAGTCGCTATTTTGTACTGCTTCCTGCTACATCTACAAATGACAGAAACTAGATCTGCATAGTGACACATGCCTTTGATCCCAGAACATGGGCAGAGGCAGGTAGATCACTCAGTTAAAGGCCAACCTCTTCTACATGGAGAGTATGTAGATTAACCCTGTCTCGAAAAACCAATAAAATAAAATAAAAATTACAGAAATTATAGCTGGAGATGACTAACTTGTAATCTTTTTTGCCTTTCATTTGTCTTGAGTGGTACACAAGCAGCATGCATATGTACACGTTCACATGAGTGTAGGCAAACGCATGTGCAAAGACCAATCTCAGGTATCTTCCTTGGTCCCTTTCTATTTACTGAGGCAAGGTTTCTGGCTGAACATGGTACTCACTGATTTGACTAGTTTAGCTAGCCAGCTGCTTTAGGGATCCTGTCTCTCCCACTCAAGGGCTAGGGTTACAGTAGGGCTAAAACACCCATCCAGCATTTAACTGGGTCCTAGGGATCTAAACTCTAGCCCCCACACTAGTGCGGCAAATGTTAACGTTCCATAGTCTAATTTACCTCCCTAACTACTAACTTACTCATTTATCGAGACATTAGAAAATAAAAGCCAAAACCACTACCGTCACAGGCAAAAAGCCAAAACAGTCACAGACAAAACAAAGAACATCCTGGTAAAACCCCAACACTCCTTCAAAAGACCAAAACTCCTACCTTTTCTGTGGAAAAGTGACTGCTGGATATAGTCTGGTGCAAATGGAGAAAGCAGAACCTTTAACCACCTGTAAAGAAAGTAATTAAAACAAATCTGAAGGGAAGACAAACACTGCGAAGTTAACTAAACTGGAAGCTCCAAATTAAGGAAAATCTTTTAATACTATTTCTATATGTAAGAAGTTTCTTATAATATTACTATGCAAATCATGACACAAATATCAGAAAATACAAAAATAATGTAAATCTCTCCTCACTTCACAAATTCTCAATTCTAGCCTAAACAAAAAGTATAACTCTGGTCTGTTTCTCTTGCTCAAACCTGTTAAATTAGCTTCAATTATAGTTTCATTAGGTCATGTTGATGGAGATTTTTATAACAATGCTTTGAACTTTCAGAAAGTTAACAGAAATGACTAAGGCATTTATGGCCATCTAATGGAAGCCTTAACAGTGCTTCTCCTATCATAACAGCCCTCAATAACTGTACACCACTTGTGTAAATATCTCTTTATTGGAAACTTACATATTCAACACTGAATTTATCTACTTCTCTAAGGCTATAGCTCTACAGTAGATCATCTACTTAAGCATAAGGTCTTGGGTTCAATCCCTAGCACTACTAAATAATAAACATGTCCATTGAGCCAAATTATAAAAGCATTCAGAATCAACAGATATCAGCATTTGCTCACCTATCTCGTGAATGGTTGAAGACCCTGATCTGTCCATGACGATAGATAAACTTTGAAATTTCATATGGCTTTAGGGAAATATGAAATGGAGACCAAGTTTCTTGCCGTTCAAATAACTCTGGGTGATTACACACCTAAGATGAAGGGAAATAGTAGAACAACACTGTCATTTACAGATATAATTGCTGAATGTTAAACTTCATGAATATTTACCTTCCCATTTTCATCTCTAGTGGTCTATCTGGCATCAAACCTAGAGCCCTCTTCACGAAGTAGGTTAATAGAAACATCAAAGCAGATGTCCTAAGCCTTACCTTCCTGAACTGCATGACAAGATTCATGAGGCTGCTGGTGGTGGTCTGTGCTTGCTGAGTAGAGCCCATAGAAGACTGCAGTAAGTCCTCAATGGATATTTTATTCTTTAGTGCCTGATATAAGAGCTTTTGTCGACTGGTCAATTGGCAGTACATTAGAATCTCAATCTAAAAAGAGAGAGAGGGAGAGAGAGAGAGGGAGAGGGAGAGAGAGGGGGGGAGGGAGGGAGGGAGGAGAGAGAGAGAGAAGAAAAAGAAGAAAAAGAAAAAAGTCAACAAAAACATTCCTATTTGTTGTAAAACTCAGGTGAAAAAAAATCAGTATAAACTTAAATGAAAAAATGTTTCCTAGACCCACTTCTCTTGTTACACACAGGCTGTCCTCTCGAATCCTTTCTGACTTCCAACAGCACCAATTATCACCCTTCACAGTAATTTACAAAAACTTATTCCAACTGTGAAAGGACTACTCAGTCTACAACAAACACATTATGTGGCATGTCAAGGGGAAAGAGGTCTCTTCTACAACTTACCAAACTGGTTAATAGCATTACCATTCATTCAGTTGCCCAAAGATTTAAAAAGACCAAATCTATAGGGCATGATGGTGCACGATCAAGCCCAGTACCTGGGAGGCAGAAGCAAGAGAATCTCCGTGATTTGGGGTCAGCCTCAGCCTGGGCTACAGTGAGACCTTATCTCACAAGAAAATAAAAAATCATTGAGAGATATGCATGGAACCTTTAAAAAAAGATCCAGTTATTTAATGTAGACTGGTGTTTTGCCTGTATACATTCTATGTTGGTGTCAGATCTCCTGGAACTGGAGTTACAGACAGCTGTGAACTGCCATGTGATTGCTCGGAATTGAACCCAGGACCTCTGAAGAGCAGTCAATGTTCTTTTTTTTTGTTTGTTTTGTTTTTTTGTTTTTACGAGACAGGGTTTCTCTGTATTGTTTTCGAGGCTATTGGTCCAGCCCAGCCTCGAACTCACAGAGATCTGCCTGCCTCTGCCTCCCAAGTGCTGGGATTAAAGGCGTGCGCCACCACCGCCCGGCTGCAGTCAATGTTCTTAACCATTGATCCACGCTCCATCCTTCATAAAACTATATTTAAATAAAATAATTGTAAGATTTATTTTACAATATACCAAAGGAATGGCCATGAGCTGATGATCACTGCTGATGCTATACCATGGATACAACTGGAGTCATGACATCATTCTATTTTTGTAATGTTTCAAATTCTCCATTAATAAAAGTACAGCCAGGTATGATGGCTCATACATATAACTCAACAGGTGGTCAGAAGGGTAAGGCAGGAGAATTGTTTAGAGGAATGTTCATAAGTTCCAGGCCACCCTCGCTTACAGTGTAAGACATGTCTAAAAACAAAACAAAACAAACCGTGTGTGTGTGGGGGGGGTAACAAAAGGAAAAGATTATTACTTGCCTTGCTCAGGCACCCATAACCATACAAGTTCAAAGATTTCAATCAAACTGAGTATCTTTCAACTAAATATATACCAAGGAAATTTCCTGACAAAAACCCTAATTGGGTATCACCTGAGGTTCAAACACATTAAAAACACGATTTTATTTCTTACTTTGTCAGATAATTCATTTTCTACATCTTTTTTGATTCTTCTCAGCATAAATGGCTTCAAGATCATGTGTAATCGAGAGAGTTGATCTGAAACAGGAAGTTCACAAATAATGCACTGTACACTGATTGAAGACAGTCAAAACAAGCATCATGTTCCTCCCTACAAACCCTCCAAATGCCACTGGGCTCAATGATTTTCTGAAAGAATGAAACTTCCAAAGTAGAAAAACAAGCATCTTGTATAGGCTCTATTTATATTAGAAACTACTTTCCGAGTATATCTGGAAAACTGTATTAATAATAAGGTTTTCACAAACATCTAATGAAAGCTAGAAGGGACTCTCAGTGTGAACTATTTTTTGTCAACTTGACACAATGTAGAGTCACCTGGGAAGAGAGCAACTGAAGAATTCCTTCCTATCAGATTTGACTGTGGGGAAGCTTGTGGGGTATTTTCTTTTCTCTTTTCCTTCCTTCCTTCCTTTCTTCCTTCCTTCCTTCCTTCCTTCCTTCCTTCCTTCCTTCCGTGTGTGTGTGTGTGTGTGTGTGTGTGTGTGTGTGTGTGTGTGTGTGTGTGTGTGTGTGTGTGTATTTAGTTGTTGTGTTTGTCCCCTCCCCAACCCGACAGAGTTTCATATGCAGCCCTGGTTGTCTTGGAACTCAACTCTATAGACCAGCCTGTCCCTGAACTCACAGAAATCTTCCTGCCTCTGCCTCCTGAGTGCTGAAATTAAATGCATGGGCCACTCTACCTGGCTACATTTTCTGGATTAATAATTGACTATTAAGGGGGAGTCAGCCAACTGTGAGAGGTACCACCCCTGGGCAGGTGGTCCTGGGTAATACAATAGAGCAGGCTGAACAACTCATAGGAGCGAGCTAGAAAGCAGTTTTCTTCCATGGTCTCTGCTTCAGTTCCAGCCATGAGCTTTCTGCTTCTACTCCTGTTCTAACTTGTATGATGGTGTAGGACTGGGATGTGTAACCCAGATAAATCCCTTCTCTCCAAACTACAACAGAAGGCAAACCAGGACACAGTGTTTCCCAAAAATTATCTTTAAAGAAATGTCAAAAAATTGACAACTTCTTAAAATCACTTAAAGAATTTATTTTACTGCATGTCAGTCTGAGCACCATGTGTACATGCAGTGCTTAATGTGGTCAGGAGAGGGTATCATACCTCAAATGACTGGAGCTGGGAGCTGCCATGTGGGTACTGGAAACTGAAACTGAGTCCTCTGTCTGGAAAAGTGGCCACTGCTTTTCCCCACTGAGCCATCTCTCCAGACCCTACTTAATTTTTCTCATAATTAGTAGATGTCAAGTTATGTCTATATAATAAGCCACTTGGCATGTTCTTAATATTAGGCAAATAGTACAAAACTACTGACAAACATTAAAAATGTTTGCAATAGAAACAAATCCTAGGGCTCATAAAATAGATCAGTGGGTGAAGAACCTTGCCAAGCAAGCCTAGTGACCTGAGTTCGATCCCCAGAACACATACAAAGGTAAAACAAAGAAGAGAATGACTCCACAGTTGCCCTCCAACCTCCACAAGCTCACTGTGGCAAGTACCCACCGGCCCAATAATAAGTAAAATTAAAAAAAATAAAGAAATCCTAAGAAAAACAATTTCCCATGTGGTGGCTCTCATCTGCAATCTTAGCACTTGGGAAATTAAAACTGTAAATGTTTGAGGCCAGACTACATAGCGAATTTCAGACCAGTCTAGAAATCTGTGAAGTCTGGGTTAGTCTCAGAATTCCACACACAAAAGAGAAAAGCCAAGATAGTACTTACTCTCATCAATAGCAGATTTGTTTTCAGCATGACTTTCAATGTCCTTGGAAAACCATTCATTGAATTCTTCATGTGAATCAAATAATGTTGGCATAATGAAATGTAGCAGAGCCCAGAGCTTGAAACAAATAAACAAACAAACAAAAAAATTAAACAGATATAGTGTCATAAAATAATGCTATGTGACTATGTATTAAGTTTTGGGGAGTGAAGAACCAAATGAACACATGTACATAAAGCAGAAAGAATAAATGAATCCAAGAGCTTGCTCAATTGAACTCTATACAATTAGGTGTTGTAATGAAAAGTTATGACTTTTCAATTAATTGAAAACTAAAAGCTTAATAATACAAGCCCTGCTCAGCTTTTAAAGTAGTACAGATGACAAACAACTAGTTCCACAACTGAACACAGGTCTGTGGTAGAGTAACTAGCTGCTAAAAACTCTAGAGAAGGAGCCAGACAACTATGTGCTTTCATGAATAAAGTTTTATGTGAACATAGCCAGATCCATTCATTTCTACCCTATTTATGACTGCCTCCATACTGCATAAGCAAAAACAAGCATTGTCAACAGTGAATGTATTGTCTACAAAATGTAAAGTGATGAATTCTAAAGAAGGAATTGAGTCCCTCAGAGTTAGAGAATATCAGCTTCCAATTCTAGAGTAAAAACTTATCCATATTAGACGGGCAACATTTCCTAATGTGCTCAATAACTAATAAGAAATAAGAATGGTGCCTACAAGACACTTAGGAAGCTACAATTCAATTTTTCTATGGTGGTGAATATAATTTGTGCAGAATTGTAGTTCATCATGGGTACAGTTGTCTTAAGAAGATATAAACTGTGACCTTGACTAGTGCCTACCTCTGCCATGGTATTCTGAATGGGGGTTCCAGTTAACAAAAGCCGATTCCGACACTGGAATTGTAAGAGAATCTTCCAACGAACACTGTTTAAGAAAATGAGTTACAAATTCCAAGTTGGCAATAAGTCTTTAATTGTCCTAAGATCCAATATTCTTAAAAATGTTTTTGAAACAACATTTAAGAATCACATACAGTATCACACAATAAAAATATATTTTAACAAAGATGAAGATAAAAAAGTCCCAGCAGAACTAAGACTCATCAATACCAATGGTATTAATGCATGGGGGGGGGGAATCTCTTAAATAGGTAAAGTGGGTGACCTTTGACTTTTCTAGCTTTATAGTCTCCTGCTATTCTTGACTTTAAGAAAACTAAACATGCCGGGCGGTGGTGGCCCACGCCTTTAATCCCAGCACTCGGGAGGCAGAGGCAGGCGGATCTCTGTGAGTTCGAGGCCGGGCTGGACCGATAGCCTCCAAAACAATACAGAGAAACCCTGTCTCGAAAAACCAAAAAAAAAAAAAAAGAAAGAAAGAAAGAAAGAAAACTAAACACACACATGCACACAAAACATAAGGCATCTATTTAGAAACCACTTATCTGAAACACAAAGTATCAAAAGTATTAATCTGTGCCTTTCCAGCTCATCTGGTAGAGCAATGGAAGAGGGTTGGACATAACTCAAGTCATTAATCATATTAGCCAGGCAGGTCTTCCTTCAATGAGTACATGAAAAATCCTCCATAGGCTGGGACTTTCCACTTGTCTATTACATGAACCTCTAAGAGGAAGTCCTGCAGATTCACCAGAAAAAATACAGCAATTCCAATGCTGAATAGCACCAAGTAAAATTATACAGCTAAGCACTATTCTATTTCAGTTTCGGAATCACTTTACAAATGTAACTTACAATAAAAAGACTCTGAGATCTAATAGTCATGCAAGGACTAGAGGGGGAGTGATAAAAAAACAGATCATTTTGCCAGGCGATATTGGTTTGCACCTCTAATCTCAGCACTTAGGAGGCAGAGACAGGAGGATCTCTGAGATCAAGGCCAGTCTGGTCTACAGATCAAGTTCCAGGACAGGCTCCAAAGCTACAGAGAAATCGTTCCTGGAAAAACTAAAAGAGATAATCTCTAAGCCCCCTAGAGTAATATTCTACCTGCGACTTGGAGTTCTTTATAAAATAATCCCTCAGAGGAAAGGCCAAGATCACGTCTCCTATAGATTTTCCTTAACAACAAAAGTCACAACTGAGGAGATTAACATTGAGAAAAACCTATATATTCTAAGCATATTTGAGTCTCAAAGAAAAACATACAAATAAGAATTTCTGCATTCTGGCCAGGCAATAAACCATGCTATGTTATGCTCTGAAATTTCTGGCCTTTGCTGATTCTGTGTGTAGACTCCCACCCATGAAGTCTAGTTTCTAATACACACATTACCTGGAACTGCTCTTCAGTGCCTGAGCTTCATCCAGTACCATGTATTGCCACTTGACCCGCTGGAAATACTTGACATCCTGTACTACCAGCTGGTAGCTAGTGATGACCACATGGAAGGGGGCATCCTGAGTGTATAAAGTCTTCTACAATTTAAGAGGGAAAACATGGAAACGGATTTGTTTAAAATTTCAGTTTAATGTATGTGGGTGTGCAAATATGAGTAAGCACATACACATGTGGAGGTTAAAGGACAATCTTCCAAAGTTGTCTCTTTCCTTCCACTGTTGATTCCAGGGACTGAGCATACATTATCAAGCTTGCTTAGCACCCACTGAGCATCTCTCCAGTCCAAATAACAATTCTCCATAAGGAGCAAGGTGGTGGTGGTGTACACCTTTAATCCCAGCACCCAGGAGGCAGAGACTACCAGATCTCTGTGAGTTCAAGGCCAGCCGGATCTACAGAGCAAGTTCTAGGACAGGCTCCAAAGCTACAGAGAAAACTGTCTCAAAAAACCAAAACCCCAATTCTCCTTAAGGTAATGAAGGAAGCCTGGTGTAGGAGTGCAACCTTTAATCCCAGCACTGGTGAGGCAGCGGCAGAATGATCTCTAATTTTTAGGCCAGCCTGGACTACATCATGTTCCATTCTACCTAGTGCTATACATAGTGAGATCTTGTTTTTAAAAAAGGAAACAAAGTATGAACAGCACATTAAAAGAGGTAAACTGCCAACATCCAATATCTTTATTTTCTTTTATAATCAAAGAAACAATTAATATCCAGTTCATGAAAGAAAAGGGAAGATGGGACTGAAGAGATGGCTCAGTAGTTAAAGCCTAGCTGATCTTGCATGGTGACTCATATAACTTCAGTTCCAGAGGATCTGACGGCTTCTCCTCTGGCCTCTTCAGGACCCTGCATGTACATGGTACACATATACTCATGCAAATTCACACATACACATAATTTTTTAAAAAGTAAATCTTAAAAGTCTCTTCATAGTAGACTGTCAAAACAAATGCCTGTACAGGAAAAACAATGTATCTAAAGAAAAATATATTTGCCCTATAAAACAATGTATCTAAGGAAAAATATATTTGCCCTATATCGAGAAATGTATTGTAGACCTTATATACATGAGGATTTATTCAAATCAAAGAGAACTCAGACAGACAGACAGACAGACAGACAGAGACACTGAAGTTACCTGACTCCAGAATCTCCGGATGACTTTCCTATCATGAGGATTTCCCCAATATGGTAGCACCTGGAAAATGGACCAATACATACATTATTTTCTTTGAGAATAAACTAAAAACATTATCAATAGTTATTCTGAATGATTTAATATAAAACACTAATAAAAGAGGCATTTCTTTTTTTGGTTTTTTGGTTTTGTTTTCTTTTTATTTTTTTGAACTAGCTTTGTAGACCAGTCTGGCCTTGAACTCTGAGAGTTCCACCTGCCTCTGCCTCCCAAGTGCATAATACCCACACACAGCTATGACAGTTTAAAAAAAAAAAAAGAGTCAGGAGCCTTGGCACACACCTTAGCTAACGGTCAGGAGGCAGCGAAGAGGGAACCACAGTGAGAAAATGACTCCATAAAGTTGGTCAGTAAACCACATACAGAGGCACACCCCTTTAATCCCAGCATTCTGGAGGCAGGGAACAGTGAATCTCTGTGAGTTCAAGGCCAACCTGAACTACACAAGGAATTCCAAGACAGCCAAGGCTACATATAGAGACCCTACCACAAAAAACAAAAAACAAACAAACAAAAAGCCCTGAAAAGTTTGGCGTATAAGCAAGTCTTTAAGGCACTGTCTTGACTGATGTGGGAGGTCCCATCCCACAGGGGGCAGTGCCACGCCTGGTAGGCAGTACTTGAAAAAGCAGGCTGAGCAAGCCACTAGGAGCAAGCCAGTAAGCAGTGCTCTCCCAAGGCCTGTTTCAGCTCTGCCTTCAGGTTCCTGCCCACGTGGGTTCCTGCCCAGAATCCCTTGGATGATGGAGTACAAGCTATGAGGTGAAAATAAACCCTTTCCTCCCCATGCTGCTTTCAGTCAGTGTTTAAGGCAGCAAAAGAAGGGTCAGAAATCTTAAAGAAAAGCTACTTTACCTTAAATTTAGGAACAAATCTTGTAAACTCCTGGTGCCAATTATTGAGTGTAGAAGCAGGTGAAATTATTAGGAAAGGTCCCCAGATGTTTTCTCTCTGCAACAGAAAACTGGGTCAGTCAGCTGTTGGAAAACTGAAGATATTCAAATAATCAGTGACAAAGTTAAAAAAGAGGAAAAAAAAAAAAGAGGAAACACAGTAACAATAAAAATTGTGCATATCTCCCAACTGTCCACACATATGCATTCAATCAGAAGCAACGTTAGTTGAGGCAAGCCTGGCCTACATATAGAGCTAGTTTCCAAGACAGCCAGGACTACAGAGAAGCAGTCTTGAAAAACCAAAATAAGTTAAGTAAATATGAAAATAGAAAAGAAGCAGTATTAGCGTAATAAGAACATACCAAAGAGGTAAAATATTAAGTCACTCTCTTGTGACTTTTAGGTTTTAACTTTCTTCATAAAAAGTATATGACAATACTGATTAGTTTTTATTATTTTCTACTGTTATAATTTCACTGTTATTTAATTGGAAGAGTATTAATTTTTTTCAATGTATATACATTTTCCACTCTGGTTTGAAAAAGGTAGAAAACTAGGCCTCGGAGATTTAAAGTGAAATCACTTCAAAAGAGGTTAAGTGAGTTGCCTACATGACATGGCTAGAAAGAACAGTGTTGAGATGGGAATCTAGTACCGGTTCCTTCAATCCAACAATCAAGTCCTTGCCACTACACAGGCAGCTCTTAAAACGAAGTGAAAGGCAAACATTCTGGTTATACTTGTTAAAATATTGTTCTGGGCCCTTAAAAACTAAATGTTATACCATTCTGTCCGCTATGATAGGCCTTCAGATGTAGCAATGAAGGGACCAGACCCTCACTCAGGCCCTGCTTTAGTAGCTATGATAGGCTACAGGAAAGATGCGTAGGACTCTAACACATGGAAACTCCAGATCCTCTGGCCTCCCAGAGCCTAGGACCAAATCTGAACACAAAGAAACTCTAGACCGTCCCCCAACCTCCTTAGATGCTTGTTTCCTGGGAACTGTTTGGACACAAAAGAAATCCCAGGGGAGATCAAAACCTCCCCTGTGGTCTCCAGGATATAGTTCTGAAAACTACTGGTATGTATGAACAACAGGCCACCTACAAGTAACAAGGCAAAGCCATAGAAAACACAGAATGCTCCCTCTCAGCACTGACCAATGAGAATAATTGTTACACAGGTATTTCATGCCAAAATATGACTTTGAGAAATTCTCCTAATTGTTCCCAAATGTCAACAAATCAGAAACCAAACCGTACCTACTGCTGTAATCCTGTAACTTTTATCTTTAAAACCTAGCAGTAGACAGGGAACTTCGTTCTATCTGGAGGCTGCTACATCAGCTAGCCAGAAGGGGCCCTTGTCATAGTTGGATGAACAATAAAACCTTGTTTTTTACAGTTCAGTAGGTCTGTCTCCCTTGGTGGTCTCTGGTGATCTTCACAACTTGGGCACAAAACAACAACAAGCTCTATTACTTTGATGTGGTACCATGTATACCATTGTTTTTAAGTGGCTCCCTGAGCCTAAATTCAGGAGAGAGGAAGACAGACTGAGAGTTCATTTACTCACCTCAGCCAGATGGGCCAGGAGGGCAATGCTCTGTACAGTTTTACCAAGACCCATTTCATCAGCAAGAATTCCATTAATACCCTGTATAAGGTGTATGAATTACAGTTATGAAGGTCTGAGGATAAAAGGACTTAAATGATGACAAAAGAAGTGAGTTGAGACATTAAAAATAAAATATGTTCTAGCTTTCTCTCTTTCATTATGCTACTGTTCATAGTCTTAATATTAGTAAAGTTCTGATAAGCTACTAATCCAACTCCAACAGTCTACTAAACAACTACACCACTATACGATCGTAACTGCAAGGTAACGATTAAGGTATTTTTTTTAATATATTAAAAAATATCCATCAGTTCTAAATGTTATACTTTTAGCCAAGTCACTTCTAACATAAATAAATATGCTAATGTATCTAATATGTAATGTCTTCACAAACTCAATGGGTTCTTCTAAGTTCCAGGGAGCCAAATTAGACCCGTCCAAACAGGTCAGATTCACTCCAAATAAATATTACTCAACCTCTCCCTCATCCCAGGATTCCCTTTCCTCATCTTGGGACACCTTGTGAATCCCTCCCTCATCTTACAATCTTCCCCTACTGCGATGGAGCAACCACTACTCTAGGAAAGTGACAACTCCTCAGCTTTCTCAGGTTCCCCCAAAGATGGTTGATGCCCCCCCAGGTCAGCAGGAAGCAGTCTTGAGAACTCCAACGGCCTTATTCCCTGACTTGTCACGTCTAACACCCCACCGACAACAGGCGGGGCATGCACAGTGATGTGGCTACATCATCACTACGTCACTTATTACGGGACTCAATGCACATCTGCAGCTCCCCCTTTTTAAGCTCCAGCTCTCTTGCTGTTTCTCCCCCGCCCCCAATATGGCTCACACCCAGCTCTAACTCCGGTTCTAGAGGACCGGATCCCCTCTTCTGACCTCCACCCGCATTGTGTGCCTGTAGTATATTTACATACAATAAAGGTAAATATTTATATACACAAAATAAAAATAAGTAAATCTAAAAAGAAACTCACTTCGTAATTAATCAAAAGAAAAGTAATAGTAAAATAAAAAGAATAGGTTTGGCATATTTCTAAAACTTACCTGTTCATAGAGATTGGCTAACCAGTTCATGCCTTTCAGCTGGTAACCTTTCAATTTGCCATTGAAAATAGTGGGTTGTGGAATATCCTCACCAGCACGGATGGATGGATTCGCAAGGCTGTAACTCTCCCCAAACCCAGAGCCAGACTTGTCTGCTGCCCTAAGGGCAGCTGCACGACTTTCTTTTGCATCTTCATCAAATGACCTTGTCTGGAAAATAAAAAGTCAAGAAACATATAAGAAAAAAATTCCAAACATAAAATTCATTAACTTATTTTACATTATGCTAAAAATTTGAACAAACTCTATATTACTAAGCTAATAAAACAATTATATTAAAGTGTTTTTAACATTCTAAGCTATATTATGTTACTTGCTAATTCAAAGATCTTGTTAATTTTTGTTGTTATTGTTGTTTTTGTTTTTCAAGACAGGGTTTTTTTTGTGTGTGTGTGTGTAGCCCTGGCTGTCCTGGAACTCCCACTGTTCTCAAACTGGCCTCAAACTCACAGAAATCAGCTTGCCTCTGCCTCCCGAGTGCTGAAACTAAAGCTATGCACCACTAGTACCTGACTAGTTACAAAGTTTTGATACAGGGGAGTGCCTAGAACATGATGCTGAGATTAAAGAACAGGATATACTTGAATAAAAATATCATTATGAAATTCATCACATTGTACAATGAACACATCTAATAAATATTAAATCTACATAGTGTTGGCTATCCTGGAACTCACTACATAGACCAAGCTGGCCTCAAACTAGATCCTCACACCTCGGCCTCTGAATGATGGTATTAAAGGCGGGTACTACCACACCCAGTACTTGTATCTGTTCTTAATCCTGATAAAGTAACAGAAATGCTCCCGGCTGCACACTAAACTGAATTTTTTCACTTATTTCAACCCAAATGCAGTTTCTTACTACTTTTATTTAAGATCACTAGGTCCTAAAGGGCTGGAGAGATGACTCAGAAGAGTACTAGCTGTTTTTGCAGAGGACCTGGGTTCAGCTCCCAGTACCCAATGGAGGCTCAATCATCCCTACTCCAGTTCTAAGGGACCTGACACACTCTCTTCTGGGCTCTGTGGCTACCAATTATACACACAGTACAAACAGTCATACAAAGAGTAAAAACAAATCTTAAAAAAAAAAAAGCCTAACTCAGGAATAATAGAACAAATTAGTGCTTGAATGAAAGAAACCAGTGACTTAGTTTTCTCAAGACGTAAGACTACTCAAGAGAATACAAAACAACAAAACAGTTTGTAGCTTAACTGTAACCCTTTCAACTTTAATAATAAAAATTCTACACAACTAAATATTTGTTAATCTGCCGTATTAGTACTATTCTGAAGTACAGATGGGACCAAAGAATGGCTCAGTGGTTAAAAGCACTGGCTGTTCTTCCAGAAGACCTAGTACAATTACTAGTACCCACATGGTGGCCAATCCCACATGGTGGCCAATAACCATCTGTTTTTGAAGTAAAGAAAGATCACTCTCGGTGTGATCAGTCACACAGACACAGACACACCAGGCCCAACTCGTTTAACTGAAAATAACGAGCATAGAATAAAGTAAGAAAGAACATGCAAATGAAAAACTATGGGGCATTTCCTGGGCCTATTACAATATGCCTGCCTTTCTTTCTTCTTTCCTTTCCTTTCTTGTTCTCTCTTCCTTCCTTTCTTTCCTTTTTTGTTCTGAGACGGTCTCACTATGTATCCTTGGCTGTCGTGGAACTGACCTTATATATACACCAACCTAGCCTCAAACTCTCTGCCTCCTGGGTGCTAGGATTAAAGGTGTGGCTACCACACCCAGTCTGCTATTTCACTTGAAGACTTACTCGAGCTTGGTGAATATGGTAAGCATTTTCAGCATTCTTCAGGGCCTGGGCTTTAAAATGGTTACTATCTGAAAAGAAAAAACATGTAGATTATCACACTTTACCTCCTTCAAAGACACAATTTATTTATCCCACACATAAGTGGGTCCCCAGTTATCTACTGTATTTATCCCAAGGCTAACAAAGGACAGGGAGGAGGAAAGACTAAAGTCCTTGTCAGAGATAAGAAACTTGAAGCAAGTGGGGTGCACCTTAAATCCCAGCACTCAGGAGGCAGAGGCAGATGATCTCTGGGTTCCAGGCCAGCCTGGTCAACACCATGAATTCAATGGCAGCAACAGCTATATAGTTTGACCCTATCTTGAAAAAGCAATCAAAAGAACCTGGAAGTATAAAGAAGTTGTGGATGTCCCTGATCTCCAGCAGTGAAAGCCAGCACACACTAAACTATCTCTCAGGCCTAGGGTTTCTTTCATACATTGATATCAATTGCTAAGGCAAGCAAATCATGCAGATTCAAATGAAACAACTTAAGCAGATGAAACCTAACTATACATGTGTTAACATTCAAGATCTCTAAAATACTTCCATTCTCCTGCATTTCTAAGTCAGCATGATCTTGAATACTACACTGTAGAAATTCTCTTACTATGTGTAACTGAGGATGATCTTGAACTTCTGATCCTCATGCCTCCAAAGTGTTGAGATCACATGATGGCACTGCCATGCCTGGTTTATGTGGTGCTGGTTATCGAACCCAGGGATTTATGAAGGCTAGGGAAACTCTCCTCTTCTTTAAGCCTCTACTGAAAATTCTTTCATAGGCTTCCTTTGTAAAAACACACATACTTCCTTTTACAATCTCCCTTTTCTGTTCAGGACAAAACTTTTAAGAATTGTAACACATGCAACCTAGATATGAAAAATAGAGGCTACCTGCTCCTTCTACTTCCTGACTCAGAACTCACCATAATCTTCCTGGGTGATGTTAACGACTACTCCACCACCAATGTCAATTTGCCTCTGGGTAGAACTATCTTCCAGTTTCCTTAGGATTTCTTCCTGGATTCCATCATGACCCATGTCACGTTTTCGACTCATGAAATGAGCATACAACTCTGTCTGAGTGATTAAGAAGTTGAGTTTTCGCTGCTGCCTCTTAGCCTAAAGTGGGGGGGGAGGATTGAAGGTAAAAACATACAAGTCATAAATTATGTTGTCAACAGAACTTATGAAATCTTTATATAAACCTGCATATAATTCTTTTAAATAAGTTTTTATTTTTAAAAAGGCAAATACCGTTGAAGAACACATAAGCACACACACACACACATAAAAATAAATATAAAAGAAGGGAAAAGAAGAGAGTGAAAACTAAAGAGAAAAGAAAAGAATGAGCAAGGGTTCTGAAGAGGCTCCAAAGCTCCACTCTGAGAAAACTAAGGGCCACGCCTGAAAAAAAGCATCATCCAATCCTGATTCTCATCTTTTGTTGACCCTAACTTTTCATTCCAAGTGTTTCATCAATGACATATAATTCCTTATTCTCTACTCCTACATATACAAAGTCTAAACTAGTTGAGAGACATTACATTCAGCAACAGAAATGGCTAAAGTTTAAAATGGTAGATGCGAAAGTGGATGGGTCTCACAAAACTGTATTAATTGTTCACTGTCCCCTATGTAACAAATTCTGTTACTCCAGCTCAAGGGTATCCAATGCCCTTTTCTCATCTCAGCATGGATCCACATGGTGCACACATCCATGAAGGCAAAATATCCACTCACACAAAATAAAATTCTTTTTTAAGAAATTAAAACAAGAGGTTGGAGAGGTGGCTCAGAGATTAAGAGCACTGGTTGCCCTTCCAGAGGTCCTGAGTTCAATTCTCAACAATCACATGGTGGCCCTCAAAACATCTGTATTGAGATCTGATGACCTCTTCTGGCATGCAGGTGTATATGCAGACAGAACACTGTATACGTAATAAATAAATCTTGAAAAAAAAATTAAAACAAGCCGAGTGGTGCTGTTGCACGTCTTTAATTCCAGCACTAGCGAGGCAGAGGCATGTGGATCTCTGAGTTCAAGGCTAGCCTGGTCTGTAGAGTAAGTTCCAAAATAAAAACTAAAATGAAACCAAAACAACAATGATGAAATCAAGTCAACAAATGAAAAACAAAAGGGTTGGACATGCAGGAGGCAGACGCAAGTATATCCGTGAGAATTTGAGGACAGTCTGGTTTATATTACCACTTCCAAGAAAGCTAGAGCACTATCTCAAAGGTACAAGGCAACAAGCCCAATTCTTCGTGCTTTGGTACTAAAAAGGCTTTTAGAATTGGCTTGCTTTTGCCTCACCTCCCTCATTTCCTCATCCAACTTCCGCTGCTCCAAAGCTTCCTTCTCTGCTCGTTTGCGGTGCTCTTTCTCCACCTTCTCATACTTCTTCCAGTACAGAAGCATCTCCTTGGTTAGGCGTCGAGCACGAGGCAAAGTCTCCTTACAGTTCTTCTGTGCTTGCAAGGCAGCTCGACGCACTTCCTTCATGCACTGGTGGGCAAGCTGCAAACAGCAGAATTATCATAACAGGGAAGGACCTAATTCCAGCAAAGGTTCTGCCTGGACTGTAAACTAGTGTTCCACATTTTGTTTTAGTATCTACAGTCCTGCTAGAGATAATGCCCCTGAATTAATCTGTCATGAATTACATGTAGTCAACAGAATTTATCAAATCTTTATACAGGCTGTATATAATTCTTTTTAAATGCTTTTATTCTTAAAAAGGCAAATATTGCTGCTCAACAACACATAAACAGCAAAAAAATAAATGCAAAAGAAAAAAAAGGAACAGAGGAAGGGAGGGAGTGAAAATTGAAGGGGAAAAAACAAAGGATGATCAATCGTGACTATGGTCCTGACAGACCCGAGGTCAAATCTCCTAATTAAGAAACCTATGTACATCTACCACTTTAATAGCCATCACTGCTTTTTTTACATGAGGCACATTTTAACATGTACTAATGCATCCTTTGTTCACAAAAACCCTATCTAAGCAGTATCATCATCATCATCGTTGTCGTCATCATCATCTCCTCTATTTTATACAGATGAGGAAATAAAGGATGGAGAGCCTAATAATGGAAAAACCACACTAAAAATGTTACCTCATCTGATCCTTACAACAAGCTGCTATTTTCCTCTCAGAGAAGTTTATTCACATCAACATTTTTCTTTTTTTTAGTAACTATTATTGTGTGTGTGTGATAGTTGGGTATAGGTGTACATGTACATGGCACATGTGTGGGTATTCCAGGACATCTGTGGGGAGTCAGCTCTTTCCTTCCATCAACAGTTCCAGGGATTGAACTCATGCTGTCAGGCTTAGCAGAAAGTAGCTTTACCCACTGAGCCATCTCTCTGACCCCCATCACTGCTTAAATGGAAAGACTGAGCACAGATCTTAAGGATCCTTTGATCTGCCCAAGTACCAGAGATTAATTAGTTGGTTTGACAAAATAGTTCAGAGTTTTGAGAGATATGATGAAGAACAATTTTACTTATTAAACAGAATGATACCACCCACTTAGAAGTTCCCTTCCATACTATCTGATTCATGATGAACAGAGAACACACAAAAATAGTGAAAATAGACCCAGATGAAAACACACACTACGCAAAATAGAAAACAGAAATTACGTTACCTTTCGGCTATTGGTGAGAAATAAGTTTCGAGCTGAAGATTTCTGCTTGTTGGCCTAAAACGTTTAAAAATAAAACTTCATTTCTAATAGGACTATGTAGTATTATTTTAATTCCTGAAGGAATGAAAAATAAAATGTAAAGTATATACAAGACAAATTACTTCCAAAAGTCATCAAGAGAGACTGTCTAGCATACCATAAAACTACCAAAGGAGCAAGAAGAAGCTACTATTACAGCTGCCTCAAGGGCCTTTAGTTTAGTGTATATATAGTATATGCATGTGTGTATTTTTGAATGTATGAGCACATGTCTGCACATGTATGTAGACAAGAGCAGTAGATGTTAGGTGCTTTTCTCTACCACTTTGCTACTTATTTTTTGAGACAGGGTCTCTCAATGAACCTGGAACTCACAGATTCAACTAGACTGAGTGGCCAACAAGCTACCTGTCTCAGCTGCCCATGAGCTAGTATTCTAAGCCCAGGTCATGATACTTGGCTTTTTTGACATGGGTGCTGGGTACTAGATCTCAGGTCCTTACACTACCTGAGTGTAAGCAAGCAGTTTACCAACCAACGTATTTTTTCTAGCCCTTTAAATAATCGCTATTCTTGTAGAAAGGATTTATGTAAGGATGGAATGGACTAGAACACTGTAATGAATGCAAACCTGAACTCTACCCTGATTCAAACATGTTGTTTTCCAAGTTCAATGTGCAAAGCTAAGGCAGCAGGACACTGAGATAGAAGAATCATTATAAGGAACATACTAGCTCTACCTCCAACAAAAGCAAACTGTTTCTACTATTACTCATATTTTTGTCATTACCCAAGCCTCATTTCACTTAAAATAAGAAAAAAATTACAAGGCAAACCTAACTCCAGCTCCAAGTCTTCCTCTACCATTTAAAAACAAGCCTTCAATAAAGTAACCTGACTTTTCACTATGTGTGATGGCACCTTCCTTTAATCTCATCTCTTAGGGAGGCAGATGCAAATGGATCATGTGACTTCAAGGTCACCCTGGTCTACATGGCAAGTTCCAGGCCAGCAAGGACTGTATAGTAAAACTATGTCTCAAAATAAACAAAGTCAACCCAACTTCTAGTCATGTCCATTTAATTATGGAAAAGACAGAAAAGGCAGCTCTCTGCCTATTGCATCTTCTCCCATGCTGAATAAGGGTTTAAAGTTAAAGAGAATGCCAGAAAGCCTTTTTTTTTCTGGTGGGGGGGGGGGCGAGACAGAATTTCTCTATGTAGCCCTGGCTTTCCTAGAATTCACTCTGTAGAACACGCTGGCCTACAAATCAGAGATCTGCTTCCAGAGTGCTAGGTTTAAAGGCATGCAGCAGCACCCCCCAAGCTGAAATTCAATTCTAAAGTGGTCCTACTTCATGGATTTTTTTTTCAGCCTTTTCTCAGTAACTTCCTCTAATTCATATGTTGCTTATTTTTTCATCAAAGCCAAAAATCTCAATTGCTCCTACTGAAAAGTCATTTAGCATCAGAAGGGCATCATCTGAAACTTCCTCAGATACTAAAGTGTACTTTCCCTATCAAGAACAGCTCACACATAAATCATCTCTTAAGAAAAACTTAGAAATTGCTACATGAAAAACCAGTTAACTTAGCTGGGCGGTGGTGGCACATGCCTTTAATCCCAGTACTTCAGATGTAGAGGCAGGCAGATCTCTGAGTTCGAGGCCAGCCTGGTCTACAAAGTGAGTTCCAGGATTGTCTAGGCTATATGAAGAAACCATGTCTTGAAAAACCAAAATAAGCAAATGAATAAATAAAAACAAGTAGTTAAGACAAAAATCAAAACTAATATTATCAGCAGTGGACAGAAATGTGTATGTCACCTGAAATGTTAGACAAAGGAGAACGCATTACTACTGTGATAATCATGAGCAAATGCATAACCCAAATCGGCCCACTTAGAAACACCAGGTACAGGTCTATCCTCTTCAAAAATAACAATGTCACAAAAGACAAAGGTTGAAAACTCAGATGAAAGAGACTAACAACTAAATGCAACATATAGTCCTAAAATTGGATCCTGCTTCAATCAGAAGAAGCCAACAAAATGTTATTGTGGACTACAAAGCAGACAATACTCGGTCAGCCTGTTAAAACCCGAGTTTGACTGCATTGAGCTTACAGAGAGAATCTTTTCTTTAAAAAAAAAAAAAACGAACTAGGAAAGGAAGTCAGGAATCCAAGGTCATCCTGGGCTTTCCACTGATAGCTAGCCTGGAACACATGATACCCCATTTCAAAAAAACAAAAACCAGAATCCATATGGTGGTGGCACATGCTGTTAATCCCAGCACTCAATAGGCAAAGACAGGTGGATCTTTTGAGTTCCAGGCCAGCCTGGTCTACAGAATGAGTGACAGGATAGCTGTGGCTACACAGAGAAATGCTGTCTCAGAAAAACAAAAAAAAAGTCAGGCATTGGTGGTGGTACACACCTTTAATCCCAGCACTCAGGAAGCAGAGACAGGTAGGTGGCTCTCTGTGTGTTTGAGGCCAGCCTAATCTACAGAATGAGTGACAGGAGAGGCTCCAAAACGAAAAATGAAAAAAAGAAAAAAAAGAAACAAACAAACAAAAGAGGCTTTGGCATATAGTTCAGTGATAGAGCAACTTCACTTATACTTTCTGTAGCTACGTAAGTGAGTCTCCAGGAATTCATCCTAAAATCTCTAATTGTAGTCAGATTTCACAGGCTTCAGCTCAGTTTTCCCTTTCCCTTATATGTAACATTCTGACAATGAGAAAGTAGTGCTTATCTGTAATATATTTTGACTGTATAGTATAGTATACTCGTGTAATTACAAAATCGCTAATCTGCTCACTATCCACATTTATAATGCCAACCCCATGGCAGACAAAGTTTTAAAAACTGTGTGTGTGTGTGAACATGTGGAAGTCAGAGGACAACTTTCAGGAATTGGTCCTCTTCTTCTACCATATAGGTTCCAATAATCAAACTGAGGTTCACAGACTTGGAGGTGAGAGCATTTACTCACCGAGCCACTAACCAGCAATGGATTATTTTAGTCTTTAGTTTTACATAATACATACTACATACTCCTTAAGTATAAAATCATGGAGACACACACTTAGCTTCTATCCCTAAAAATACGACTGTTATTTGTGTGTTTATTTAGGTTTTTTGAAACAGGGTTTCTCTGTGTAGCTTTGGAGCCTGTATTTGAACTTGCTCTGTAGACCAGGCTGGCCTTGAACTCAGAGATATGCCTACTTCTGTCTTCCCAGAACTGGCATTAAAAGCATGTGCCACCACTGCCTGGCTGTGACTGTTGACAAGTAAATACATCTGGTCCTCTTCCTCTCATGACTAATATCCCCATTCACCCACATACTGGTCAGTTGAGGGTTTGTTAAATTTTTTTAATGATTTATTCATTATTATTTCATGTGCAGACAAGTATGTCTATATAAGGGTGTCAGATCCCCTGGAGTTACAGACAGTTGTGAGCTGCCATGTGGGTGTTAGGAATTGAACACAGGTCCTTTAGAAGAGCAGCCGGTACTCTTAAACCACTGAGCCATCTCTCCAGACCCATATTCGTTTGCTTACTTTTGAGGGTTCTAAGAATGTCTGAACGTCTGAAAGTTGGCCATACAACCAATCAAAACTCCTTCCCCATCCTGCTACCTTGTTCCCATCCCTCCCTTTCACTCACTTACCTTTGGTAGTTCCTTCTTCACGATGCTAAGCCATACTTTCCTGCGGCGAGCATTAAGCTGCTCAATGGATAAGTGTTTTTTCTTGGTGCCAGGGGGAGGTGCATCATGAGAAAATTTAGCAAAGACTTTGGTCTGGTGATGGTGGTGACGTGGAGATTCCTCAGATGAAAGCTCTTCATCTCGTCGTCTTTTTTTCTTCACCTTTTTCAACTTAGCTACAAAGGAAAGAGATGCTTACAAGGCTGTGTTTTCTCCTTCCAGAGGTAGGCAATGTTTCTTTCTTTTCTCAAACCAATAAATATTTCAAGAGGAAGAACTCACTAATTTGGAAAGAACACTGGACATTCCCAGCTGTTCACATGAAAAAAAGCGACTAAAACTCAAAACCCAATAACTTCTGAACTCTGCACTATGAAAGGTTTATAAAGCATCGCTGGTCTCAAGTGACAGTCACAGCATGAAAACATACTTCTATTTGGTGGAAATGCAAGACAACTAATGAAAATAACAGGAAAAAATGCATCAATTGATAGGACAATAAATTTTTGAGGAAAAAATATTATAAATGGCACAAATGCTTAATTTACATTGGGAAGGAGAGTGGAGGAAGAGTAAAGGAGGCTGTGAAAAAGAAGGGAATACTAAAAATAAGCTTCTTGAGCAGAGAAACAAATCTGCCTTACAGATACTTTCAACCTCTCTTCCTTTGTCCTTCCAGCTCTCCAACTGCTTAGCGGATCAGTAGGAGATGAAGACATTTTCCAGCAAACATGCTCATCAGGAGATGATCTGCTTTTCTGTTATTCCTCACACTCCCCTATGCACAACCAACTTTTCTCACCCCAGACTACTCCCAACAATGGCACAGTTTGTAGAAGAAAAAAGGAAGGAAACTATTTTGCCAAAACCATTGGCTAACAACCCATAGCTGTAATTGTCTTGCTTTCTTGGGTTGGAAGTGAAAAAGGAGGTTGTAAGACAAGACGTTTCCTGTAGCCCAAGCTGGACTCAGACTCCATGCAGCCAACAGTGACCTTGATCTCCAGACTCTCTTGATTCTACCCACCAAGTGCTGGGATTACTGACATGTTTACAATCTACAATTCTTAAGTCTTTGTATTTCTAAAGAAGACCACAAAACAAATATGAAATAACGTCAATAATGCCACTAACCACAAAAAGACTGTAATATTTCAGATAAAGTAATTTTCTACTACATTTAAAGTCCAAATGCACCACACACAATTCTGAAATTAAGAAAGAATAAATATGGAATAAATGCTTACCTTTAAGCTTCTTGTCTTCCTTGAATTTCTTTTTTTTGGGTCCAAGTAAATGACGCTGTTGCTCATAGAAAGGGTCATATGTTGAGAGCAGGCCTGCACTGTAGTACTGGTATTGCTGCAACTGAAGTAGGCAAACACTGTGATAGTCCTCCCTGCATTCCACAGCACAACCTTGCAGTCATCTTAATTAAAAAAAAGCTAAGCCAGATGAAATCATAGCTCTTAAACATTGCTTCCCACAGGGACCAATAAGAAATCAGTACATTAAAGAGAATTTCTTTAACTTAGAAGCAAAACAGGTTCAAGTGGGAAGGAAAACCTTTGGAAATCTATTACATTTTCTTTTCTTTTCTACCTTCTTCAACAGGAGCTCATGTAGCCCAGGCTGGCTTTGAACTCCTTATTCCAAATACTAGATCTGCTAATGTATACCACCATGCACATCAGATATACATTTAGTATGAAATTAATTATTTACACTGGCTTAAAGGGAACAGGAAAGTGGAGGCAAGGAGATCAGGAATTCCAGGCCAGCCTGAGCTACGCTACATAAGACTCTGTCCTTAAAAACAAAACCAAAAAGTGAAAACCAAAAGGTCAAGAATTGTTTCTCTTTAGAAATTCATCAAGGGCTGGAAAGATACCAACAGGTAAAGGAATTTGCCACCAACCCTGAAAGCCTCCAGACAGATCAATTACTGGAAACCAAAGGGTAGAAGACAGCTAAATGCTGACCTCTGACATCAATCACATCCATATTCTCCTGTGGAAAACACATGGCCACACACACACACTAAAGAAGTACATGTTAAAACAAAGCAACAGAAATTCATCAGTAAGAAATAAACATATTTCCACTACCAATTGGTCTTCAGATATACTAGGTTCCTAATATTAGCTCCTAAGGATTTTACCTTTTTATTTGCTTTTCGTTTTGAGCTGTTTTTGTTCATGGTAACAAGGCCTCACTATGTAGTCCTGGCTGGCCTGACACTCACCATGTAGACTGCTGGCCTCACTCCTGAAGATGACCCTCCTAACTGTGCTGGTTGCATACGTTGGAATTATAAGCACATGCGACTGTGTTAGGTCCCTCAAAGCATTACCAACCTATCATCTCAGTCCTTTAACCTTTCAAGTACCCCACTTCTCATCAAAAGAGCTTATTATTTAGGAAAAGTACCTATGATTACAATTAACATGAATAATCTCGTTCTTTCCATCCATGTAGTAGTAAATCCTTCCAAACATTTTGTTTCAACTGACTCTCAAATACCACAATAATCTTATTTCCCATATAAATTAATATCTGTTGAATTGTTTTCTGAGATTATAAATCATGGAATAACATATAGGACTAAAATAAAGCTTATCAACTGTCAAAATTAAGTGAGCATGCATCAAGCTGTACACTTACAATCCAATGTATATATGTTTTATTATAATTTTAAAAAATGTAAAGCAGATCATGCCTGTAATTTCAATACATGTGGCTGAGACAGTCTGCCAGGAATTCAAGGCCCATCTGGGCTACAGAGTGACATCTGTCTCAAAAGAAGAAAAAGAGAAATGAGTAAATATATGGAGTACTAAGTACCATGGCATTAGGTTTCAGAATCAAAATTGTTTGATATTGCTAGGCAGTGATGGTGCACACCTTTAATCCCAGCACTTGGGAGGCAGAGGCAGGTGGATCTTTGTGAGTTCGAGGCCAGCCTGGTCTACAAAGCGAGTTCCAGGACAGCCTCCAAGACAATACAGAGAAACCCTGCCTCGAAAAAAAAAACAAAAAACAAAAAACAAAAAAAAGAATCAACTCACTGAGTGAAAAATAAAAACACCATGTTCTATAAATAAAATTTGATTATTTGGCAATAAAAAAAATGAGGAACAAACATGAAAAATCTTGTAAACATTATACCAAATGAGAAGCCAGAGTAAAAAGAACTATTTGATTTCTTTTGTAAATGTCTACAATAGACATATCTACAAAGAACATGCATGCACAAGGCCCTGGATTCAATCTCCAACAGCACCCAAAAATAAAACAACCACAGCTGTTATGTACAAAAAACATGCATGCATGAGACCATGATTCAATCTCTAACAACAAACAAATAAAACCACAGCTGTACGTGGTTGCACATGCCAGCACTTGGAAGGTGGAGATAGAATTTCAAGGTCACCCTACTAAGCAAGTGTCAATACATACATACATACACACACACACACACACACACACACACACACACACACACACACACACACACAAAGTCGTATCAAAAAAGAAGGTAGACTGATGGCTGCCTGGCACCAAGGAAGAAAAGAATGAGAGCAGAAGCTAAGGGTTAGGGTTCTTTTTAAAGTGGTGAGTGGGCGGGAACTGAGATGGTGATGATGGAAACACAACACTGTAGGCATATTTAAAAGACACTCAATTACCTACGTTTCAAAAGCTGGATTTTTGTTATATGAATCCTATCACAATAAAGCTATCTATTAACAATTATTGTTTCATATACATTAAAATAACTTGGTATAAGTGTTCTCTTGAAACTCTCACCTCCTTATCTTTACTATATTTATTTTGGTGAAGTTTCTTATATTTGTGTAATCGAAGCATGTTGTGAAGTTCTTCTCTGCTGAGACTGAGTTCTTCTTCTTCATCATCATCGTCTTCACTCTGAGAATCTGCCTCACTGGACTCATCACTTAAAAGAATGCTCTAGAAAAAGGGTGAAAATTGAATATAACTTTTGTTGTGAAGCAATTTCTTTTACAATCCAATCAGTTTTTTTCCCAGATGCTAGAACAACGGCCAAAACAGAGTATAGTCATTTTAGAATCTTACACTACTCTTTATCATTTTAACTAACAAAAAACAAACAAACAAACAAAAAACCTAAATGCTGATATGTCAAGGCAAACGAGAGCATTTAGGGTATAGGAATAAAGAAAAGGAATATAGCATATAAGGGAACAAGAACAAAGCAAGGTATGACAGAAGGAGAGAAATAACTCAAATTCAAATATCTAGTAGTTCATGAAATGATAAACAAAATGCAGCACATTAGGCCATAAGTAGAAACAAAATATTAAAAAGTACTAATTTATACCATCACATAATAAACCTTCAAATATTATACTAAGTAAGAAAAGCCAGTCACCAAAGACCCCATACTACAATTCAATTTATATGACATGTCCAGAATGGGCAAATCAACAGAAAGAGAATTAGATTAGTAGCCAGCATCCCATAGGATGGGAGTATCTGCTAATGAGCAAAGGGTTTCTTCACGTAATGATGAAATGCTCTCAAATTAGACAGTGGTAATTGGCAAGAATTGTGAATATATTAAAAGCTACTAAGTCTCACAGTTAAAAAGCTTAGATTTTATGGTGTCTTGTATCTTTTTTTTTTAAGATTTATTTTATGTGTGTTTTGTCTTCACGCACTTCTATGAACCTTGTACATACTTGGTACCTGCAGAGGTCAAAAGGTACCAGATCCCCTGGAATTTGAGTTATAGTTGGTTGTGAGACAAAATATATGTGTTGGGAACAGAACACAGCTCCTCAGCACAAGCAACAGGCATTCTGAACCACCTCTCCAGAGCCATCTCTCAATTTTTAAAAATGTGATAGTTGCTGGGTGTTGGTGGCGCACGCCTTTAATCCCAGCATTCAGGAGGCAGAGGCAGGTGGATCTCTGTGAGTTTGGGACCAGCATGGTCTACAAGAGCAAGTTCCAGGACATCCAAAGCCACAGAGAAACCCTGTCTTGAGGGGGGGGGAAAGAAGTGATAGTTAAGCATAAAGGTTTCTCTATTTCGAACTTCCTAAATAATCTATCAGATAGAAAGCAAGTTAGAGCCGGGCGTTGGTGGCGCACGCCTTTAATCCCAGCACTCGGGAGGCAGAGGCAGGCGGATCTCTGTGAGTTCGAGACCAGCCTGGACTACCAATCGAGTTCCAGGACAGCCTCCAAAGCCACAGAGAAACCCTGTCTCGAAAAACCAAAAAAAAAAAAAAAAAAAAAAAAAAAGAAAGCAAGTTAGACTTTAAACACTTGAGTTTTAAAGGACATGGTTGTGATATTAAAGAATTTTGATCTCATAGCAAAAGTAAGAAATAGTAAACTAATTTTTCTTTGTAATTAAATATTTGCACATGCTAAGTGAGAAACCTTTTTAAAAGAAGAAACATCACCCTCTGTTCACTGTGGCCATTCACAGTAGTAGTAGAAATACAATGAGACTCTGTTTATGACTGTGCCCTATGTAAGTGCATCCCTAACAATGGAATGCAGCCCACAACACCAGGTTCTAATCTCACTTCTACTACCCATTCACTACCCAGCCACACTACCTCTCCTTCTCCCCAGAAGTTGCTTCTTAGTGAATAATTCTTGTGCCTGTCTCATATGATCAATGGCTCTTACCATAAGACATTCACATGGCTCGCTCTGATCACAGAAATCTGGTGAAATGTTCTTTTAAAGAAGTTGTAGTTATTTACTTGTTTAGACTCTTACTACCTTCCGTAAGTAGAATGTAAATGACACAGAGAAGGACACTTGTCTACCTATAACAGTACTTGGCACATGGATGGACTCGAGATATTTGATGAACTACTCAAAAATTCACAAAAAGTAAATTGACATTCCTAACTATAAGGTAAGCCAATGAAGGAACTATCTAATCAATTTCTGCTCTTTCCTCAGTGTCTCATATTTAATAAAAATTACTACTACTAAGTTCTCTTCACTAAACAAATTCCAACAGTAAAAACCTGTCTCTGAAAACATCTGTCAATATGCCCGAATGGACTGGTAGCATCCCTTCTAACTGCTATTTGGACTGAACGTTAATGTTCTGAATGTTCTGTCTCATTTCTTACCTTTAGCCACTTTCTGCTTTTCTTCAACTTAGAGAAGTTATATAAATTCCCCTTGTCAGATTTTGATTCTGGATAAAGAAACATAAAGAATAAAAAAAAAAAATGAAAGGATGACTGCCCCCAAGAGAACTCAAGGTCCAGAGGAATCCCACTCCACACTGACCTGACTGAAGAACTCCATTCAGTGAGTACGGGTTCAATAATCCAGAATTGCTTGCTCCTGAAGTTTCACCAAGCAATGAATTTGGAGGTTCTTCTTTTACTTGTATTAAGGGATCCCCAGACTCTGGTAATAAGGGATTATTGTCATCCAGTCCATCTTCACTGTCATCACTATAAATTGAAGAATAGTAGGTCCATAATTAAAGATTATCCAACAAAGCATATTTGAGTCAAGTGTGGTGGCACATGCCTATAAGTCTAGCACCTGGTGAAAGCAGGAGGATCAGGAGTTCAAGGACATTTGAGACTAGTATGGGTTATATGAAATCCTATCTCAAATATATGTATACATACACGAACGTGTGTGTGTGTGTGTGTGTGTGTGTGTGTGTGTGTGTGTGTGTGTGTGTAATCTAGGTGGTAGGGCAAGACGATACACAGACCTTTAAAGCTGGTGCTTCAAGGGTAGAGAGAAATTTGTGAGTTCTAGGCCAGCCTGGGCTACATAGTGAGACCATGTCTCAAAAAAATTGATTGACTGATTAATTTAAGGTTATTATTATAAATGAACACTTAAAGAACAAAGTCTTTGAAAAAGTTGACTGCTTTATTTAAAAGAGAAATAGCAAAAATAAAAACCATACAAAAAGTTTAACTTTAAATTTTAGAGACAGTAATCAGAATGTAATAATACATTATTAGAGATAAAATAACAAACCTAGAGATATTCCTGTTGAAGATGGCCGATGTTTGTCGCAGAAAATGGTCCAACCGCAAGGCCCTCTCCAGGTACTGAAGATAGAGGGGCTTTGCCAGCTCACTGCAGCTGCCATCGTCCCCGGCACCCAACTCCGAGGCCATAGAACAAATTTGTCTTCATGCACGAGGACCTCCGACTGCACAGCTGCAGAATGAAGTTTAAAAGAAAGAAAAGGAAGAAAGAAAGAAAGATGAAAGGCTATTCCTCTTCCTTCTCCTGCCTGCTTGCCTTCTGTATAAAAAGAAATCAGGCTCTCTTGAACACAATACACTGAGACAACAGATTATAGAAAGTTCACTAGATACTGCCTTCTAGTGCAAAGGCAAAGTATAGAAACACTATCAACTGCAACACAATTTATAAAACACTTTTTCAAGCAATCCTTTGATACTCACCTTCCTGTTTCTCCTCCATTAATAATTACAAGAATGAATAACAACTCTCCAAGTGAGGTGCTGATTGTGTGCACCTTGCAGAATACATACAGTATTTGTTTTCAACATCACCTTTTTATACTTATATTCATTCACATGTATGAAGTATCCTATTTGTCAGGGAAATATATACATTATTGGAGTTTTCTTAAAAATTTCTCCTCAAACTCTCGTAGGTTTACCTGCCTCTACCTCCCCAGAGCTGGAATTAAAGGTATGCACCACCATGCCCAGCCATTTTTTTTTTTTAAAACAGGGGGCTCACAGATTAAGGAAATTCGTAAACTTCCCAAGTATGGAAAGACTCCAAGAAGGAATACCTTCTTCTAAAATTCTGTCAAATCTACTCCAATCTTAAAGTGAAGAGCTCTTCAAAGTTTATATTGACTTACACTGCCATTTCTAAGGATGGAAAACTATTGCTACATTGACAGTGCAATTAACCACTGACTGCCCTGTTCCAAGGCTCTCTATCATCCTGGTTATACTCTGACTATACTTCAGCTCCTCCTAACAGTCCCATGTCCATGTTAAGTCTATATATGTGCACATACATACATACATACATACTTAGACAAACCTACTAGTGTGAGGATTGTAATATATTCCAAGTCCATTACTAGCTCAGATTAGAGTTTTCTTGGACTGTGAGAGGTCCTTGGTTGGATACCCAGTATCAAAAACTTGAAAAATAAATCAGGCAGTGGTGGCTGAGGCAGGGACAGACAGATGTGAGTTTGAGGCCAGCCGGGTCTACACAGGGAGTTCTAGAACAGCCAGAGCTGTTACACAGAGAAACCTATGGGGGTGGGAGGGCGACTTGAAAAATAAAATGGCTGGAAAGACAGTTCAGCATTTAGAGCACTGGCTGCTCTTGCAGGGGATTCCGGTTCAGTTTCTAGCACCCATATGGAGGCTCACAACTGTCTGTAACTCCAGTTCCAGGGACCCAACACTCCCTTCTGGCATCTGTGTGTACTACATATATATATATATATATGGTACACACACACACACACACACACACACACACACACACACACACAAATTTCTTAATTAAAATAAATAAGCAAAACAAACTAGCTCATTTAATCTGTATAATAATAGAAACTCTGCTATGACACAGTAGTGCACATGTATATCCCAGAACATGAAGAGAGGTACAGGAAGGAGGATCTAAAGTTCAAGATCAAACTCAGGTACATAGCTAGTTTGATGTCACAGTGGAGGCTACATGAAACTGCCTTTTTCTCATATTCATTCCTAACAAAAAAAGTGTTACTCTCAGCCAGGTGGTGGCAGTGGGTAGTCAAGGGTAGATAGATCTGTCTAGGCCAGCCGGGTCTATAAATCATGTTCCAGGACAACCCAGACTACAGAGAAACCTTGTCTCCAAAAACAAAACAAAAAGTTACTCTCCTTTTAGTTTAAACAACTAAGCAATGAAATAGAATTTAGATCTCCTATCAGTGACTCTAAAGCCCCGGATCTTTACTATCAGCTGCTGCTACAAAACAGCAAAACAAGGAAGTCCCACCATTAGCTGACCTGTCTCCCAGTAATCTGATTTATGCCTTCTCCCTTCACAATCCAAAGCATCTAGGTTTGAACTGTAAACTGGTTACCTTATCCTGGTAAATAAAGTCACAAAGCTGTTGATTAAGAAGAGATAACTATGTACCACACACCAAATTAAGGAGCAAATACAAGGAGAAAAACTGTCTTGCCCTCAAAAGCAAAAGTAGGTAGAGCATTCAACCATGAGGACCAGAAACACTAAACTCGCCTAAGGGGTCTCTATAATACAGAAATAGTCTAGGAATTTAAGAAGTCAGTTCAACTCAAAGCATAGTGTTCCTGAGACCCAAAAGAAGAAAAAAAAAAAAAAGAGGAATACCTGCATTTTAGAAATGAACTTAAGAGTCGGGCGTTGGTGGCGCACGCCTTTAATCCCAGCACTCGGGAGGCAGAGGCAGGCGGATCTCTGTGAGTTCGAGGCCAGCCTGGTCTACAGATCGAGTTCCAGGACAGCCTCCAAAGCCACAGAGAAACCCTATCTCGAAAAACCAAAAAAAAAAAAAAAAAAAAAAAAAAAAAAAAGAACTGAAAAAATTCTGGTTAAAAAAGGCTGTCCCTTCCACAAATCCCTAAAGTATATTGTGATTATGGATTCTTAATCCTACCTTTTCTTCCTTAATGAAACTTGCATGCTATTTTTCAAAATGAAATATACCTAAGTGTACACAGGATATTGATTTTAGAATCCCTGCAAAATCCATAGCTATGGATGATCTCACATTAAAATGTCACATAATCTGTTTATGACCTTCATCTATTGTTTACTGTGAATCTCTCAGTTACTTATCTCATCACTGCAAATGTTACAAACATTTACACACTGTATTGTTTAAAAAGTATGTAACAAGAAAGTCTGCACATGACCTGACTTTTCTAAGTATTTTTTAATATGGATGAATCTTTAAAACCAACCTTGAGCATCAGGCAAGGCTGAAAGGAAAAGCACTTAAGAACAGCAGCATCTCAGCTGGGATGAAATTCAGGCGGTACCCTGCTGCCTTGCACACACAAATTCTCTTCAGTCCCCAGCACAGTACCATATGCCTCTAATCCCAGAGTCAGAAAAGTGCAAGGACGGGACTGGAGAGATGGCTCAGCAGTTATGAGCGCTGGCTGCTCTTCCAAAGGACCCGGGTTCAATTCCCAGCACCCACACTAAAGCTCACAACTGTCTGTAACTCCCATTCCAGGGGATCTGACACCTTCACATAGACATACATGCAGGTAAAACATCAATGTACATTAAAAAAAAAAGTGCAAGGCTATACTGAGTGACACAATGAATTCAAGGTCAGCCTGGGGCACATGGAAATCTGTCTCAAAAACCAGGACTTGCCAGATGTATCAGGTGGCTAAAAAAAAAAAAGAAACAAACAAACACACTTGCCACATGCCCGATGACTTGAGTTCAATCCACAGGATACACACACAGTAGACAGAACTTATTCACTCAAATTGTCTTCTGTCCTACACACACACACACACACACACACACACACACAAATAAATGCTAATTTTGTTTTAAATTAAAGAATGTCATTATTGAAAAAACAAACAAAAAAGGGCAGCAGCAATAAATCCAAATTAACAGGGTACATCAAAGAAGCACCATAACCACTGGGAAGAGACCCCAATAACCAACTCAGGAACTTGTTTTTTTATCACAATCACCTTACTTATAGGTATCTTATCTTAATTAGGTATATTTCCTGCATCAACTCTTTAATTGGTCATTTCTCCAAGCAGTCTTAGTTGCTGTTCTATTGTTACAAAATGACCAAGGTAACTTAAAAAAGAAAGCATTTAGTTGGTGCTTACAGTTTCAGAGGGTTAGTCCATGATCATCATGGCAGGGAGCATGGAGGAAAGCAGGCAGACTGCTAGAGCAGTAGCTGAGCCTGTATCTTGATCCACAGGCAGGTCTCACTCAAACACCACACAGACCTTTTTCATTTTATAAAAGACCTAGGTACTAGCTGGGTAGCAGTAGTGCACAATTTTAATTCCAGCACTAAAGAAGCAAAGACATGCAGATCTCTGAGTTCCAGGCCAGACTGGTCTACAGAGCGAGTTCTAGTACTAACTTTATAGACCAGGCTGGTCTCAAACTCAGAGATCTGCCTGCCTCTGCCTCCTGAGTGCTGGGATAAAGTCAAGTGCCATCACCAGCTGGCAAGAGTATGTATACTAATGTTTCCAAGTATTAATAATCAGTACTTACATATTAAGCTAAACTTGGGTTCATACTGAAATCCTCTTTGCCTTGCTTGCCTATAAATTCCCATTCAAAGCCAGGCATGGGGGCACACAACTTTAATCCCAGAGCCTGGAAGGTAGAGCAAGCCAATCAGAGTTCCAGGTCAGTCTGGTCTACAGACTGAGTTCTAGGACATCCAGAGCTACTCAGAGAAACCCTGTCTGGTGAGGGAGGAGGGAAGATTCCCATTTCAACATTGAGAAGCCTGTCTCAAATCACCCATATGGTTAATTGTCCAGCTGTAGTATGCATGCACATCAGTATCAGAACTGTTAACCTGTAGCCATATGGAATATGACTTTATAATTATAAGTGCCCCAGAATAGCTAGTAAATTTGAAGGATTATCAGCTCTTTTTATTTTATGTCATCTATTCAGAATATGTGTGTGTATACATGTTCATGGCATGAGTATGAAGGCCAGGGGACAACTTGCAGAGTTGGTTCTCTCCTTCCACCATGAGAGTCCCAAACTCAGATCATCAGCTTGGATCCCAGAGCCTTAACCTACAAAGCTAGCTCTCCAGCCACACACTATTATTGAAGTCCATCAAGCATTATTCATCTTCAAGCAATGCTAATTTTCAAAGTTCTTTTTTTTAAACAAATTTACCATTAACATTCTATTTTATTTTGGTCTGAAGATATAACCCAAGGCCTCATACAGGGTAGCTGAGTGTTTTATCACTTAGCCACAGGAGTTAAATTTCTTCATTACATGAAAACCCCACATTGCCTTCATCATTTTCTGGAAACTCTCTCTACTCAATGTGTTCTTTTTTGAACTATAATCACTGCAAACCATGCAAAAGTCTGAAAGTAAAACCTGGCAGTGGTGTATGCCTTTAATCCCAGTACTCAGGAGGCAGAGGCAGG